TCTCCTACCATAGCGTCCCTTTTCATTCAGATGGCGATAGTGCGAGATGACACTGTTGTACCCTGTGTCTGCAGATCAGCTTGAATTTGTTTGGAAGTTACCGTAATCTGGGTTCTGTATCCACTGTTTGAGCAACTCTTTGTTGTAATTTTCCGTCCATGTGCAAGGAGGTTAGCTACCATGCCATGGGCTGTACACCTCCTGATACTGTGCACAATGGACACAGGAACATTAAAATCACTGGAGCTGGTCTTGAAATTGTCCATGTTTTTCCACAATTTTTTCTCTCAAATCCACAGACAACTCCTTACACTTCATTCTTTTCTCCAGGCTCAGTGTCACACACAACACAAAGATTATGTCAACTCTTCTCCATCTTAACTGGTTGCAAGGGTGATAACTATATTACCCACACCTCTTACTTGCAACAGGGGTGTCTAAATACCCATTAAAGGAGCATCACATGCTTGACAGGCAATTATTTCTTACAATTTAGGCAGGGTGCCAATAATTTGGCCAGAGCATTTTGGGGTTTCTCTGTGGGATTGTATCAGATTTGACCTTTCTTCTCTGGTTTTGTGGGTGTGTGTGTTGTTCCAACAGAAGCCAAAGAAATGAACATGTGAGTACCAAGACATTTGCAACTGCCACAATTTTCTGAAAGAAGGGTTGCATTTTCTGACAGAATTGCAAGGGTGCCAAATTTTTTGGCCATTATTGTATTTAATGGTTGCAGTGACAGTCCATGAAAGCTGACGTCAAATAAAATATGCTAGTCCTGAAGGTTCTGCCAAATTCTTTGTTATTTTTGCTGCAAGTAGCTAGCATAGCTTTCCTCCCTCAAGAAATTTTAACTAAATAGGATAACTTGTTGGATACTGCATATCCAACAAATGATCCTATTTAAAGTATAAATTATATACATGCAGAACAAAGCTGTAAAAGATGTACTGCTAAAGAGAAACATCCATTTTATGAGATCCAGTATGGCATACGGGATAAGAACATTTGACTAGGGTTGAGGAATAAGAGGTTTCTGTCCTCACTCAGCCATTAAAATAATTGGGCCAATCCTTATGTCTTATCTGAATCTACCTCACAACATTTCTATGGGATAAAATCATGTCAGTATTTTCTGAAGGAGAACCATCTTGATCTCCTTGAAGAGAAAGTGAAGTAATATATATCAGTACATAAACCATAATGTTATAAACTAAAAATGTATGTTGGAAAATTATAGACTTCATATTTTGATGAAGGCCTGATCTCTAAACAATGTAATTTCATCATTCCTGACCATTATCACCTTAGCTGGGGCAGATGGTTGCAGGTTTCCAACCTCTGGAAGTCCCTGTCCCCTGACATACTGACATATTGCTTCCTCATCCATCTTTGCCAGTGCCCCCTTCCTCTGTTGTTTCCCTGACACAGAATGTTAAATTGTATGCTGCTTCTTGGGGGAGGGACTGTTTACTCCTACTATGTGAAGTTGTATACAGACTTAAAACTCTAAATTCCACAAAGAAGAAAAATTTCAGTGACATCAGTACAACAAATTATGTTTGAAGTTATACACACACACTGTCAAGCAAGGAAATGTAGACCACAAAGCATCCTCCCCATGACCAAAATGGACACACTAATGCACTCCTCTTTTACCTTAACCTCAGTAAATGTCTTTGTCTTGAGTCCTCTTTTACACAATGTCGAACCTTCTCACATCTGTTTCCATTTCAGATGCAGTAACTCTAAATGATGATGTGGTGTTTCAATCAGACCAGTCTTCAGTGTTTGTCAGCCAGTAAACTATTTTCCTTCCTGCACTTGCTTTCCCATTTATACCATATTGAACAATCAACTGTACTTTTCTGCTCAATCTATAGAAGTAAGCATTCTAAGATAATCTTGCTGGGGAGATGATATAGAAACCAGTCATCAAAAGTAACTATATTTGTGCCTGTGTTCCTGCATACACACTTACATGTGCATGTGTATGCAGATAGAAGATGGCAGAAGATACAGAGAAGGGCTGTAAACTGTGGGGGCCAATGGGAGTTCAGACCATGACAGTCTTACACAGAGTCTGTTATGTATACAGTATACAAGAACAGAGTGAGCAACTGACCACAGCAATCACACAGGTGATAAAATATATTTCTGGATATGCAAGTTTAACATCTAGTTGTAAAGCATATCATAACATAATCATACCCAAGCATTTCAGAAATATCTACATAATTCATTATTGTTCAAAGGTAAATGAATAATGTTCCAAAAGGCTGAATTCAATGGAACTGAATTTACTAATTATTCCCCGTTGGGGTGGGGTGACATCAAGTCTGCTGCAGCAAAACCAGAGTTTGCACCATAAGTATAAATACATAAATTACAGCACGTGTTTTTATGCAGTCCCCTTGATATGTAACACTTATATGCCACAGTAAAAGTGTTGCTCTTGATGGTGTCACAACTCTTCATTGTTGTTTTGATACATTGTAATTTATCAGCCTCATCTTGCATCCAGCTTTTGAACACTCCCTGTGGGTGAAGCGTGACCTGGCTATTCTAGACATAGCAGCATGGTAGGGAGAAACACCTAAATGCTTTCCCACTGGGCTCTGATGAGACCGTTTCTGATGCCAGGTCTGTGATTATTTCTAAAGAGGTAGCCCCGTTAGTCCATCCCAGCATTTATAATATAAACAAAGAACAAAAAAAATCTTGCGATACATCTCAGATTAAGCGATGTGCAGCATTTCAGTGCGAGCATTCATCAACCGCAACGCAAACCTTCACTATTCCCATTTTATAGAAAAGGGGAAAACCTGTAATACGGTTTCTGACGATTGTTATTATCACAAAAGCATCCTGTTTAAATTGTATTAAATGAAACTTATTTCGAGGTAAGCGCGCTTAATAAAGCACAGCAGCTACACAAGCTATTCTGGGCCGAGGCTGGAATCCTTCCCAGCAGACGCCGCAACTCAGGCTACACCTAAAAGATTACGTCATCGTTTTAAGCTCGCCTCAGGTTTACGTCACCCGCACTCTCCCGCCAATACGCCACGTCCAGAGCCAAGGTTCCGCCCTCCTCCGTAAGTTCTAGTCGAGTGCTCGGAATTGTATGAAACATCTTGTTTGTTTCCGCGCGCCCGCGCGCGCAGTATGACGTCACGGGACGCTCCAGGCCAGGAAGTAGCTGTAGGGGGTAGGCATGTGCCGCGACTGTGTGAAGACGGAGTACCCTTCTCGGGTAAGGGTGAGACGGCTTTCTTCTGTAGACACGCGATAAGCGAGTGCGCTGCCCCACTTTCCCTTGGCGCGATTAGGTGCCCTGAAACCTTCGTGGGCACCGCTGCCTTTGGGCTTCCTTTCAGAAGGCCTCGCCCTTTGCCCTTCCCACAGCTGCAGCCGGTGCTCGATCTTGCAGAAAGAGAGGGAGGAAGATTTTTAAATCAGAAGGACTGCCTTGCAAGGAGACAGCACGTCTCCCCCTGGTTCCCCCCCCGCCCGGTCTTATCCGGCCCTGCATCTGGCTAAAGCGGTAGAGAGTTTTTCTAGGGACATCATCAACCCCCGCTCAAGCCAGGGGTGGGTAATTTATGGTTTACAGATAATCTTAATAATTTTAAGAACTGCAGAGCTGGAAGGTCCCCTATGGATCATCGAGTCGAGCCCCTGTCAAAAAAGCACAATGGGGAATCAAACTTCCTACCTCTGGCTTTGCAACTAGATGCCTAAAACCACTGAGCTATTTATTCAGCAGTTAGTTCATTGAAACATCCATCCTTCTCCCCAGGCAGAATGTTTGTGATAATTTAGTGATGTAAAAGAAAATGAGCAGTGGTGTGGGATTTTTTTTTTAAAAAGCTTCAATTTCTATGTAATCTGGAAGTTGAGTCATGATATCACAGATATTGTCTCTTCCATTTCTAAAAATGCAATTCTTCTGTAAATTGAATTAGTCATATAGGAGCTGAATAGAATTCCAGCCAAAGAGAATAGTTTCTGTGTCATTTTGTCCAGTGACTATCCAAATAAACTATACTTATACAGTGCCAGGTTTATTTGTTTGTAAAAGAAGGCAAAGTTACTTGGTGGGTAATGTTAAAGCCAAAGGCAACTGTAATCCAGACATATTGAATCATATTCTAAAGTGACTGAGAGTAGAATTCCATTGCAGACTTTAGATGATGTAGGTGTTTGCTGGTGATAGAATTGTTTTCAGGTTGTAATATATAAATGTAGTATATCTGCATTTATTATTGTAGTTCTTAAAATAGGCTAGCATAAAGTGATTTGATGTTATTAGCCAGACAGATAGGGAGAGGGAAATAAGCAGGAACTTCAGTTGAGAGACAGTGGGATTTTTTAAAATGCCATCCAGTGTTTGTGGCTGGCCTGAAGTCTGAACACGTATGTATTAAAATTCATGCTCCTAATAACTTTTACATCCCCTCCTTTGGCTAAAATAGATGCGACACCACTGCAATGGCTGGAATTTCCTGCAGTTTCCTAACATGCAGCTGTGTGATGATTTGAATGAAGGCAGAAGTGTTCTTAACTTTTGTTTGTTTGTCAGGGTCCCAGTGTAACACGTCCTGTTCACCCTTATCATAGGACTTTGGCAAAGGAGAAAAGTTAGGTTACAAAATTTGTGGATGTTGAATCCCTCCCCATGGCTCATACCAGCTTGGAGTTGGAAGTTAATATAGGGCAGAAGAGGACATGCTTTGGTCTCAAGTGTCATATGCAGCAGTAGGTGACTGGAGCAGTGGGTTTTGCTTGGAGGGACACACTCCACTCCCCCAATAATCCTCCTTCCCAGCATGTGGCAACTTGAGTACAGACATGGGCTATGAGCTGATATGTGATACATAAGAATCAGTACAGGATCATTCCCATGCAGTAGATCTCATCCAAATCACCTCTGTGGCTGCTTTTTAAAGAGAGGGGGAATCCTTTGGAACTCAGTGTTTATTTTGACCATAAAATGAAGCTATTCTATGAAGCTTTTCATGCATTTGATACATAGACGCTGTCTAGAGGGGCGGGGTAAAAATCGAATGAATGAATGAAAAATGAATGAATGAATGAATAAATAAATAAATAAGTTTTTGTTATTTGCCTGTTTCAGGGTAATATCTGCTTGGAGAATGGTTCCTATTTGATGAACTATGCAGGTTGCGTTGAATGCAAGAAGAAAGATTTTGTGATGATAACAAACAGAGCAACAGACGAAGAAGATGGAGAGGAAATTATTACTTACGACCGTAAGGAGCCTAAACTTACGCCAGTTAGAAGGCCTTGTTTTTAGCTTGTCAGGCGCTGTATTCCAGAAGCTTCTGTTTATAGTTGAGAATGTGATCTTCTTGACTTTTAGATAACCCCCAGTAAGAAACTTGCTATAAGTTGTCTGAAATGCGTCCTTCTCTCCAAAGACTTAAGATCCCGTCTTTCCCTCCAACCCTGCTTATTTTTAATGCATTTCCTAATGAAGAGAGTATTCTTGAGAGCTGGTATATTTGTGCCTTTTTGGTTGTCCTATTAAAATAGCAGTTTAGTATGGGGTGTTTTTTTTTGAAATTTTTGTGCCTGCATAACTATCAGTGCTTTTGTTTATAACAGGGCTGCTCAGTCTTTTCACCCCAGAAAGCTTCACCTAGTATTAGTTAGAAGGGCAGGGGCTGCAACTTTACAGTGGTGCCTCGCTAAACAATTGCCTTGCTTAATGAGGAGATCGCTGTATGATTAAGTTTTAATGGTGGTTTAAATTTATTTATTTTATTTATTTATTTAATTTATATGCCGCCCACACTACCCAAAGGTCTTTTTCGTTTAACAATGATTGGTTCCATTTTCACTTTACGACGATCAGCAAACAGCTGATCATCGAGTTTCAAAATGGCCGCCGGCTGAAGAAAATGGCCCCCCGCTGTTTTCTAGGATGGATTCCTCGCTTTACAGGGACCGAAAATGGCAGCCGTATGGAGGAGCTTCGCTGGACGAGCAGGTATTCAGCCCATTGGGATGCACTGAACGGTTTTCAATGCATTTCAATGGGGTTTTTTAATTTCGTTTGACGATGTTTTCGTTCTACAGCGATTTTGCTGGAACTAATTGACATCGTCAAGCGAGGCACCACTGTATATTTATGTATAGGTTGTATGCCCCTGATTTTATTTTTCTTAATAATAGATGTTAGCAAGCCATTGCCATTGGTTAGTTGCAATTTCTCAAGCTGTTTTTTTTAATGGTGGCACCAATTCTTTGTTGTAAATACATGACCTGATCATCTTGTAGCTGTGGCTGCTAGCAGGGAGAAAACACATGCTCCTTTCCCTTTCTGCTTGGCTGTTGGGGAAATCTGTCTCTACAGATTTCAGGCTACCAGCCCTCATCTCCTTTAGCTTCCAAGAATAGCTTTTGTCCTCATCTCTACTGAGATGCTTGGAAGCTTCCTATTTAATAAAAGCCAGGGAAATTGCTTAGAACTAATCCATTGTAACTGCAGTCCTTTTGATAATAAGAGTGAGTGAATAAGCTATGGTAGTATTTTTCTCCTGATGAAATGACTGATGCTATTCACTGACCCTTTTCAGAATTTAGATGTATCTGTCAGAGTGAGACAGATGTAAAAAGGCAAAACTTTAATCTTCTGAAGAATCTCTGAACAAAATTATGTTGGAGTCAGTGAAAAAGTAAGATGCTGGTCTCATGCAGTTACTTGGGAGTAAATTCTGTTGAATATGCTGTGACCTCTAAATAAATGTGTATAGGACTGTACAGTTCATTACTTAATCTCATGTAACCTAAACAAAATAATAATGTGTCTTGTAACTTTACTGGGGAAGATGAATCTGAGTGACATGCTTATGTCATGATTTTCTGAAGAAATCCTAACAGAGTGATGAAAGCTTTAGTCCAATAATATCTGGAGGGCCATTTCTCCATTCCTGCTTTCCTGCTTTATTTGAAGCATGCTATGTAATGATAAAAGAGAAAGAGCATTTTCTGTGATATTATTATAGTTTTGAACTGTGTTTTTTAAGGAAGTATGTCAGATGCCTGCCATAACTGTCTTTAGAGGTCAAATTACGACTTACTTATTCATGTATTTTAAATGATGTTGAGTTTGTTTCTGTGGCTTTAGCTATTCTTATATTGTAATGATATATTTTTCTTTCTGTTTGAGAAGGACAGTAGAAATATGTCTTAAACCGATATATAAAAGTTCTTGTCAACCATCAAGTTAGAACTGGGTGTATTATTAATAATAATTACATGCCCTCAAATCAGTTCTGACTTAATGGGAACCCTTTCCAGAGTTTTCTAGGCAAAGAGTGCTCAGAAGTGGTTTATCATTTCCTCCTGGGGGCATCCTTGGACTGTGCAGCTTGCCCAAGGCTCCCTACAGGCTGGCCCTTTTCTCAGGAGGCATAGTAGGAAATGCCTTGAAGTCCCAACCTCTGGCCAGATGCCTAAACCACTGAGCTATCTAGCCAACTGTGTCATTTTTAACTGGTCATTTGTCACTTTTTTGCTCTTTAACAATAAGAGACTTAGAAGCCAAGTGTCAGACTACACTGTTGCCTTAACCAATGTATGGACATCTACAGGGCTTGAAAAATTTTAGAATGTTTCAGTCAATAATGTCACCAGTCAGCATGACCGTACTATAGCCTTGCAATTTATTAGGATTGGGAATCACTGATCTATACCCTCAGACTTGGGTTGCTTTATTACCTGTGTGCCTGTGGGTCATGAAGCTTGTATTTTGAATGCCTTTCTTTTGAATGTCTCCAGCAAAACTAAAACTAAAAACAAAAGCACCCAGCCTCTTAAGGAGCCACGGTTCCCTCCCACCCCAAGATGTGTCCTTGAGTAGGGTTACCTCAGTGGTCCCCAACTTTGGGTTACCCAGGTGTTCTTGGAGTGCAATTTGCAGAAGGTCCAGGTGTTCTTGGAGTGCAGTTTGCAGAAGGCTTTGCCTCCAGCTGGCTGGGGTTTCTGGGAGTTGTAGTCCAAGAACACCTGGATCACCCAAGGTTGGGAACCAGTGGACTACCTGAATACCCTATGTTAATGTAATTATATGATTGATCTAAGTGTCTTCCTTCTTTTGAATCATTGAATATCTTCTGAAATAAGGGGCTCCAAGAACACCTGGATCACCCAAGGTTGGAACCACTGGGCTACCTGAGTACCTCATATTAATGTAATTATATGATTGATCTAATAAGTGTCTTCCTTCTTTTGAATATTGAATATCTTCTGAAATAAGGGGTTTGGTTTGCACAGCAGTTTTTCTGACTGGCAGGACTGAACTGTTCATTTGCTTTCCTAATCTCTTTGTTTTGTTTGCAGATGTGTGTAAGAACTGTCACCATGTAATAGCCAGGCATGAGTATACATTCAGTGTAGTGGATGATTACCAGGTAAAACCCTTTTGACATTAATTCATCTCCTGTAATTTGTTTGCTTGTGTTTTTTTTTTCCATTTTGTTTAAGTTGGTGGATCAGTAGAGCTCAAAAACTCTTGGAAACTCAGCTTCTCCTCTGCCTATTGATGTGGCAGTAAAGCCACATCAGAACTTATTGTTGAGTATATATTCATAGTAGTTGCTGTGACAACAAAGTGTCTGTTTCTTTGAAACAGTCTGTAGGCCACTTGTATTTTTGGGCTGAGCAGACTGGTGGTTCTATACGTTCCAAGCAGTTGTCATTGTAATGTCAAAGGGAAAGGGTCTGTTTTAACACAGTTTTTCATTGATAAGAATCTTGGTGTATAGTGAGGTCTACATAAAATACAAATTTATTGAGTTTTCATTGAAGTAATTTAGAGTATCCTATAGGACAAAAATCTTTATGTAAGAAAAAAATGGACTTAAGTCCCTACTTTACTGAGGACTCTCTGGATGACTTTGGACAAGTCATTGTTTTCTTTTCTATCCTGAAAACAGCTTGCTAAAGGTTGATGATTTCAGCAAAAGATTGTTCTTGCAAAGCACCCCAGGACCTTGGCCTGATGGAAATAATTGTGCAGCCTAAATTTAACTTGTTGAGAGTAGAGGAATTTATTTATTTATTTTATTTTATTTTAATTTAATTTATACCCCGCCCATCTGGTCTAAAAGACCACTCTAGGCGGCTTTTAAGCCATAGTCAGCCCATTGTCTGTTTCTGCAGGACCTGTACATTATGTCTGACTGTAGCACTTAGAGAAACCCCAAAAGATTTCTGTCCGGATCCATCTCTGTAAAATCTAAGAGTATTAGTAAACTTCAAATACTTCTGGATGGCATTGATGTTTCTTTTTTACCCATTTCAGTCAGACTTTGGGGATTCCTTTGGTCCCTTTGGCATGTGACCTACACCACTGGACAAGGGGAATGCAGGGTGTTTTGTTTTTCTGGATCTCTTGGAAGCTTCCAGTACTGTTAATTATAGTATCCTCCTGGACCATGTGGCAGAAGTGGATATGGGGGGGGGGGGGACTATGTTACACTGGTCCCAGCCCTTCCTATTAGGAAGTATCTGAAAGGAAGAACTGGGGGAACACTGTTGGACCCCATGGTCTTCAGTATATGGCATTGCTAGGGATGTCCCTCATATTGTTCAACATCTATGTGAATGAGCTGGGAGTGGTTATATGAAACATGGCTAATGATATCCAGCTTTATTGCTCCTTGTCATCTGACCCCAAAGGAGCAGTTGTATTATACTCTTCAGCATTGCCCAAACCTGGTAATGGTCTGGATTAGCACAAACAAACTGAAATTAAATCCTGACAAGATGGAGATGCTTCTAGTCAGTAGAAAGTCAGGCCTGGTTAGTAGGATTCCATTTGTTCTAGAAGGAATTCTGGTCCCTCAGCAAGTCGCGTCCATCGCTTGGGACTGTGTCCAGGCGACACCTGTGGCCAAGGTTGCTTTTGCACAGCTCTGCTTAATGTGCCAGCCACAATATTTTTTAAATTGACCTGACTTGGTAACAGATATTCATGCCTTAAGTACATCACTCCTTGGGTATTGTACGGTGCTCCGTTTCTCTTGAAGAAGGTCCAGGATTTTCAGCTGGAGCTATATACTACAGCTGGACCCCAAACTACTGTATGATATAAAGATTATATGATCTTGAGCAAGACCTGCATTGGCTGCCAGTTGCTTACCAGGTCAAATTCAGGGTGTTGGTTTTAACTTTTGAAGCATTAAATGCCTTGGGTTCTGGCTAAGGTATGCTTAATATGAACCTGTCTTGGTGTTTAAATGCCTTGAGGGAAGGTATTTCAAGAGGTGCCTGGAACAAGTGTAATGCAGGTGCCAGCAAACGTCTCTAGAGAGTGTATTTCCATGGTGGGCAATACCTTCAGAAAGACCCTTTCCCTTATATCCACCTGCCTTGTGACATTTAGCAGAAGTAGCTCAAGGAGGTATTCTGATGGTGACCTTAGAGTTTATTTAGGTAAATTTGAGAGGCTTGCTCCCTCAAGCAGCCCAACCTGAAGATGTTTAGGGCTTTAAAACCTAAAACCAGACCTTTCAATTAGCCAGGAAATAAATTAGCAAACAGTACAAATTTAATAAATATGGTAGAGCTGTGCTTACAATCTGTATGGGTGACAGAGGGAATACAGATTTCTTTACATTCTCTTTGCTCTACATGACAAATTCTAGCACCTAGTACATGCTCTTAGCTTCTTAGATTATTACTGTATACAGATACATTTGTACATTGCTAGTCTTGTCACTTGAAAGCAGAGGATGGGGAAATCGCAGTAGTTGAAGGCATGGAGACTGAAAGAGTCTTTTGTTAGAAAATCTCTGTCATTAGGTAGTAGAATCTGAGTCTACAGTCTCTATATAGCCCACCTAAATTTTTCCTCCTTTTTCGGGAAACTTTGCGCCTTTAAAAACAAAAAAGTCCGATAGGTAAATTGAGGATAAATAATCCTTAAATCTTTTTCTATAAAATTTCGTATTCTGGTCACAGGATATGATTTCCTCAGTGTGGAATTTGTCTCAGTAAAGTTGTTCCTTCAGGTTCTCCTGTTTAAATGATTATATGTACGATCCTGCTACTGCAGGACCAACATAATTGTGTGTCAAGATTATCTGTAGCTAATCATTCTATAAAAGCAGAGGTTCTCAAGTTGAGTCATCTTGATCCTAAACCAATTTTCTTGCAGTTCTACTGATTTCAATGAACATTACTTCTCAGGTATGCATGCGTAGAAGGGTTGCCTCAGTTTAAGGGGAGAAGATGTTTTAACCTTTTAGAAGAGAGCTTGAAAGGGAGACTGTGCATGTCTTCTTGAGGTCTCATTGTTCAGTGTGATATCACTTTCCTTCATAGCTTTTTAACCGTCTTAGGGAGGATTGGTTTACTCTGAAAATCAGTTTTCTGAAGAATTGGTCAGATTCATTAGTCTTTGTGACTCACTTTCAGTCATAGCGCTAGTTTAATTATCACATCTAAATGGCTGCTCCTACACAGTAGCCTGTTTTCCTGTGTGTGGTGCTCCCTATAACTACCAGTAGCAGCTGCTGCAGTTTCCTTTGTGAAAATATTTTTTGTAGACAAACACACTATATTAACACACACCCCAAAAGTAGAGGATAAGAAGCTGCAGTATGGAAGGGAGGGTGACGAAGTTCATCTGTCAGGTTAGGAAGTCCTGGCTCTTGTCCCCTGGCCCAGAGGTCACCTGTTGAAAGAGGATTTCACTTTGTGCTGTGTTTCGTACCTGAAATGTATCCTGCATAAAGTAGTGCACTGCCCTGTATTCTCCGTGGCTGGGAGAGAAAGGGGTTTCAAGAATTGTGTGTCAAGAGAATTTTACTCTGTATTTGTTTTTCTAATTAAGTAATAATTATTTCTAAGTAAGCATAAGTACTTATAATTAGGTATTTGTTACTAAAATTCTTTGTTAGGTGCCTAAAGGAGAATAAAGAGCTTTGTAGACATTAAAGCTGGCTTTCTGCTTCTCCCACTACCAATACATTTTAAAACCTGTGTTTGTGACCAAAGGAGTAAAAAGATGAAACCCAAACTTTTCAGAATGCTTGTTCTACTTCCACAGTAGAGATGGGGGTGTTTGTATACGAATATCACCCCAAAGGTGCAGATAACAAAGGTCCAGCCCCCTGGGGCCAGACCGACCACTCACGATTCCGCCGTTGCTGCTGGCTCTGCTGAGCCTTCCTATCTCTCAGTTGCGCGCGATGGTTAGCCACTCTGCGACCTGGCAGAGAGGCTCGTCATCCCGCCTTCTGCCAGGACTGGCTAATCTATCGCGAGCAACAGGGCAGTAGGAAGCCTCTGTGGAGCCGGCAGCAGTGGCGGAATCGTGAGCGGTCGGTCTGGCCCCAAGGGGCTGGACCTTCGTTACTTGCACCTGTGGGGAGATTTTCATATTCATATACTAATAAGAATACCCCCATATCTACTCCACAGTATGATAGCCAGATACCACCATTTTGAGTAGGTAACTAACTGCCATTCCACTATTGTGTTTTCAGTGGAAGAACTGAATGTTTATCCTATGAAAAAGCAAGTTCCAGCAATATTTAGGTAGATGTGACACATTCCATCATGTTACAGTGAAAGAAAATGAACAACTCCACAGTGCATGAGCTAGTAATAGTCTTCAAATATCTAAAGATTTTGACTGTAGCTTTTAGCAAGGCAGATGCTAGATTCGTCTGATATGCAGCCTGTGTTATGGCTACAAGTGTAACATGGAGTTATTTGTCTGTATAGTGAATAAAGGAAGTATCTTCTCCCACTCCCTTAAAATAAAGTTGTTTTCTTTTTTGTTCCAGGAATACACTATGCTTTGCATGCTGTGTGGGAGAGCAGAAGATTCCATCAGCGTCTTGCCAGACGACCCTCATCTGATGAACCCTTTGTTCTGAAAGCATTTTAGTTTCTTTTAAACAGTTATATCATACAGATTTGTACCTAGTGGCACCAAATCATGAAATAAGCCATTGAAATATATTGCCCATGTACAATGGGAGGGAGCAACCTGTGTTTCTCCATGTATTGTTGGGCTACAAATCCTATGATCTTCACCATTGGTTAAGCTCACTAGGGCAGCGGGAGTTACTGTCTAGTAGTTGATGCTGATTTCTCACCCATGATGTAGAAAGCCAAATGGCTGGACAGAGTGGGGGTGTCAGCAGATATCAGCTTGGTTTATCAGCTAAGCCTCTGCCTTTACTTGCTACCAGTTGTACCTCCACAGTAGAAGGAAAGTCTCTACTACTACTCCAAGGTTTCTATGACTTCTAGTGGGCATAAGGAAGAGAGTAAGCCTTTTCAGACTGTCAGAAAGCTTTTCAGAAAGAGAGAGAGAGAGATGCCTGTTGCTTCTTTTCAGACTGTCAGAAAGCTTTTCAGAAAGATAGAGAGATACCTGTTGCTTCTGCTACCTGCCAGAGTTTTCTGTGTGTCTTAACACTTTGGACTCTTCCATGGGACTTGTAGGAAGTGTGGTGGGTTGTTGGAAGAGACAGGGTCTTGCAGAAAGTGCAGAAATAACAGGCATTTCTCCAGTTGCTGTGGCTCTCGTCCTTGGGAGCTTCTTGCAAATGAGAGAGGTCCTGGCCTCTCCCTCGAGCCTTTCAGGAAGTGTGGAAAATAGGAGTCCCATTTCTTCACAGGCTTCAATAAGGGCAGGAACAGCAAAGAGAAATCTCTGTTGTTCTTGTTTTCTGAACAGCTGCTTTTGAACTGCACTGTTGTGAACAAGGGGAACAGGAAATCCACCTGCATTAGGGCTGAGGAACATCAGGCTCTTGGCCCAGATCTAACTTTATGGAGTTCAACAGAAAGCCCCAGTCTGACCTTCTGGAGTTCTACCATGCTCCCTTCCTTATGACATTATTATTCAGTGATCATCCAACTTGTGTATATGTGTGTGTTTTTCTCCATTCTAAAATGCCTCTTGAAATGTCTGCTTTAAGGCTAATCTGTGGCAGTAAAAGCTTTGAGTACAAATATACTGATATGCTTTGTCCCACCTTATTGCTCCGCTCCTCATTAGAATTCACCACAACCCACTACAAGAATTTATCTGAAATCAAGTTCAGACCCTTTACTTAAAAATGATTATCATTCTTGACCTATAAGATGTTTACATGGAAAGTTTATTACCTGTCCATGATAGCCATATGCTGCTTTGTAAACGTGCAAGTGTCACAAAAACTAGTTGCAAGAACCAATTACATCTGCATTAGCTGGAGGGTGTAATTATTTGGTAATGCTGTCAGCTACATTTGTTGAGAGGGAGAAACAAAAGAGATCAGCCGTGATGCTTTGTGGCTGACTTATGCAGAGAAGATGACAGCAAGTGAGATATAATGAATTGAAATGAATCAGATCCTCCACGGGGAAGAAAATAGATGAACGAGAACAGCCAAGATTATTTCTTTTCAGCCTCAGGTAAGGTCCTGATCAAAGTGTATATTTAATAAACTGGTTGGTGCTGTGATTTCATAGTTACACTCTGGTTCTAAGCTGTTTGGCCCTGCAGCCATCTGTGGTTAATTTGCAGTACCACCTCTTAGTTAGAATTCTGTGAATAGCAAGCTGAGATTGGAGCCAAGAGAATTTGATGTGAGGCTGAGAAAACGTGAAGTTGTACATTGCATAAACCAAGGCAAATGCCGTAATTCTTTGGTCACTGCAGCATTCTTGAATGTGCATTCGCTTACAGTGCACATGTCCATTCTTGCAATTAAGAGTACAGGGAACATTCTAAAGGCTAGATTCATGAACAATTCACTATGACAATAGGTGGATTTAATTGATTACTGTCTGCTTAGGAATTATGCTGATCCAGTTCCATGATATTTTGTCTACTCAGAACTTTCTTACATACAGTAATTACATTGTGTCTAGGAGTATGCAAAACTTGTATTTTTTTGTTGCAGAATCTTTTGGTTGTGTCTGCCACTTTTGGTTTTGTATTTTTCATGTACTGGTCCTTTTGCTTAACACAACTGAGAAAGCCTCTTTTGGGTTTCTCATTCACATTCCTCCCACTTTATGTTTTCTGGCACTTCCGGAGTCCTAAAGAACCATGAAAAACTATTCTAAACAGCAGAAGCGAGGCAACAGAGAATCAGTCTACTCTAAGTACACGAGAAACAAATTATCAACAAATCTATGCAGGTACCTACCACCTCCAATCCTTTGTACACAACAACAGATGCCTCACTTATCCACTAGTCAGTTCAAAAAAACAGTAAAACAGCCAAAACTTTGAAAAGAGAAAACAACAGTATGCGTTCATTGCTACTCATCTAACACAACATACTCTCTGGGCCTGGGCAGCACAGTAGAAAAAATGCAGGGACCCAGCCAGGCAGGTACTAGCTGCCTGGTACACAAAGGTGCTCACTAATCAAAGCAATCAACAACACAATACCAAGAACAACAAGAGAGAAATGCCTGTTGCATGTTTTGGGACTTATGTTTAGATGCAAAAGGTCCTCCCTAATTGTGTCATCAAATCCTTGTTATAAAATTCGCATATTATTTTCCCTCTAGTGGCTGAAATGTACTTTGTGGGTACTTTAGCCATGTTTTGAGGAAATCCCTACTACCCTGGGGCCCTCAAAACATTTGTGAATTGATAAAAAAAATTTTTTGAGGGCCCCAGGGTAGTAGGATCTTCCTCAAAACATGGCTAAGATACCACAGGTACAGTACTTTACCCAAGAAGTCTTTATGAGGAAAAAAAATTAAAATAGAGGTAAAAAGGGGCCATATATTGTCCACCCCTGGCTACGAGGTATAAAACAGCCCATTAAATATGTTTCTTCATTAATTGGAAGAAAATTCAGCCTGTGCTTCTTTGCTATTGAGCTCAGTTACACATGAGTTAACATGGGCTTCGTCTCTTGTTTCTGAAGTCTTTGAGAGTCAGCAGCTCCTTTGGCAGAATTTCATATTGCTTTCTCTGATCTAGAATAGAACTATTTTGTTGTTGCTTAGTGTTAATTTGTGGGGCCTGTTATCTTAAAAGTTGTGTATTGATCTTAATTCCCGACAGACCTAGCAAAATGGATTTCCTAATGAGGTTGATTATTTTTTTTATCTTTTTTTTTTTTTAGCTAAAAGGCAGCCCACTAGGAACCTGGACTTCTGCCTCAATCCATTAGACATATGTGTTTTCTTTCTTTCTCCTCTTTAGCATTTCGGGGAAATTGTTCTGCATGGCAACGAATCAAATACTATGAAGGAAGGTCTCAGTTTGCTTTACGCTTAGTGCTAAATGAGGTGTGTCAATAATGAGAAATTGGTTTTGGTGCTCTGAAGGGCAGGGAGAAAGCTATAGAAGTCACGTCATCTGTGCAATAGACCAAGGAGCTCATGGGAAATAAAGGGCCTGTGTAGAACTGAGCTTTGTTACATCCAGTGGAACCTTTCCGTGCCTGTTTCAGGAATTTGCAACATGCTGTGTGTCCTTATATTTGATTGATAGTTTCAGCTACGAGATACCTAAGGACCTGTGAGTTCCCCAAGGACATACAGTTGGGCAGTGGCTAGAGGAATCCATAGAGGAATCCATTTTGAGTCTGACACAGGCTAAGTTCTTGAAAATAACTACTAGTAATTTTCCAGAACTTAGCCTGTGTCAGACTCAAAATGGATTCCTCTATGGTTAAGACATGACTACATAACCCATCTCTAATTAGAAAAATACACTTCATCACAGTGGCAGGAGCAGGGGAGAGCTGAATTTCCTTCCAAGTGACTTCTGCAAAGAGTTGGGCTGTGCTTTTAATGGGAGTCACGTTGCATTGAACAACTGACCCAGTTTGCCAAAGCTGGCTCTCTTCTGTCTACAGCATACTGATGTATCTGCCTACCTGCAGCCGGGGGGGGGGCTCTTAATATAGAAAAGAGTTACTCTGTTTGGGAACATCTGTGTTTGCTGCAGTGGTTCTTTTGTGTCAAACAAAAATTCTGTAATTTGGGTCATCTTTAAGGAGCTAGGACGATAACACTGCTGAGACTGCAGTAAGGCTCCTGTGGATCCCAGATGCAGTTGTGTTGATGAAAGTGTATGAAAAATGGAAATAGAATTGTCAAGTATCAAGCGCAGGACAGCTGCAGTGGAGTTGGATGTTATCTACATAAAAAAAAATCAGATCCAGTAGTTAGGAAATTCCTTGTGCTAGGTTCTGCTTCTGTCCTGATGGAAGAAGGCATTCCCCCTGGACATGCCCAGTTTTGCCTTTTTGTTACACATGTAGTAGCACTGCCTTCTGTGCTGACCTGCTGGTGCCCTCCTGTTTATCTGGGCAGCCTGGGCAGTGATTCAGCAGTCTTGGGTGTTTTACCTGTGCAGCTAGCCCTCCCTTGCTGGTTTGACAGAGTGCCAGCCGCATGGAATGCTGCAGTCTGCCACTGTCAGATGAAGAGGGGATGATAAACAGAGCTGCAGACTTTTCATCTGCCTGCAATGTAACCAGAGCTCAGCTCTTATGCCCTCCTTCTCGATTAAAAAGCATCTGTGATTTAAGGGGAGAGTGGAGAGAGATGACACTTCTATGAAATGCCAAGGGTTGATTAACATATGTTGGACTGTGTAAGAAGTGGTGGCCTCCCAGGTGTTTAAGTCTACTAACTTCCATCAGCCCTACCCAGCTCAGTCAAAGATGAGGGTTTATGGGGGCTTGCAGTTCAAAACTATCCAGAGGGTCACAGTTGCCCAGTCCTGGTGCATTAGGATATAATAGATTATAGAGGGTTCATTGGAGTTTGTGGTGTCAATGGCATTGCCATTGCAAATGCAAAGGCCTACCTGAGTTCAACTAGGAAGACTAAAGCAGAAAGGAGTTTGGTCCCACTGAGAACTTGTCTGTAACATTTGTGAGAGCCACAAAAACATTTGGGAAGTAGGCAGTATGTACTTTTGGATAATTTGGTTAATTCCTTTTTTAGCTAACAGAGTATCGGGTACAAGCAACAACTGTACAGAGAAAACATTAGAGAATAGCTTAAGTCTCAATAGTCTATTCCTTTTCACAGTGACTAACACTTTATATGTTAAAAATCAGCCTGGATGCATTTTAAATGGGGAAAAATCAGTCTTTACTTACAGTTGCTGTCTATAGTTACAATCAGTAGAAAAACAGGCAGAATAGTTTCTACACATTAGAGAGACTTCCCCCCCTCCCAATGCCTCCTGCATGTTCAGAGGTCAGGAAAGGAGAGAAAGAGACTAACAGACAAAGGAAATAGAGGTCAGGAAAGGAGAGAGAGAGAATAACAGACAAAGGAAGCAAAGCAAACAAATTGGAATAAGGGATCGGCAAGCCAGATGCGGGGAAAAAGAACTTTACCAAAAGCCCACCTGATGCCCAATGTTAGAAAGCATGCAAGGTTGTTATTATATCAACATGTACAGTAGTCATAAGTCAGTAACCTTTGAATTTCCAGCGTGAGAATTTCTGTTTTCTGTCGAATTATATGAGGTCAGGAAAGGAGAGAGAGAGAATAACAGACAAAGGAAGCAAAGCAAACAAATTGGAATAAGGGATCGGCAAGCCAGATGCGGGGAAAAAGAACTTTACCAAAAGCCCACCTGATGTCCAATGTTAGAAAGCATGCAAGGTTGTTATTATATCAACATGTACAGTAGTCATAAGTCAGTAACCTTTTAATTTCCAGCGTGAGAATTTGTTTTCTGTCGAATTATATTTACTTTCATTAGTTTTTAAAGTGTGCTGGATTTTAACACAATACAAGTACTAGGAATTATATTCTTGTGTTTAAAGAGTTAGGCAGTGTTTCATGTATGTTCACCATTTAAGAGGACAATAAGACCTGGTTGGATACCATAGCTGCTTTGTGTTGTTCTTCCTCACAGAGTTGCTTTGCTTTTTAACAACTTTGAACCACCTCGGGTCCTTTCATGGGGAGAAATGTGGCATACAAGTTAAAACAATATAGAAATAAGGTAAAATCCAGATCAGCAGCACCCCCCCCAAAAAAATCTGATGGAGATAATCAGAACTTGGCAAAGTTCACTCATTTTTTTAAAACTACAGTTCCCATTATCCCACAGTCAGTGTAGACCTTTGTCATGCTATCTGAATGATTCTGGGAGGACTTTGTCTTGAAAGTAACTATTCCAAACTGTGGTGCAGAAAAGTGTGGTAGTTGTGAGGTTTTAACATTTTGTCAGAAGTGAAGCTAAAGTGATCAGCTTTATTCCTTGATAGAGCACAGAATTGTTGCAAATCTAACATCGTGGTTCCCAATCTTGGATCCCCAGCTGTTCTTAGACTAAAACTCCCAGAAGCCTTCATCATTAGCTTTGCTGACTAGGATTTCTGAGAATTGTAGTCCAAGAACATCTAGGAAACCCTAGGTTGGGAACCGCTGCAGTAATGACTTGAGCACAGTCCATTCAAATGGATGCAATTTTGTTTAAGTTCTTCTGGCCCCACTCTGTTGGTTCTGAGCTTCTGTAAATACTAAATCTACAGGTTATGCCTATTGTGTAAATTTTTTTTGGATGCTCTTATCTAAATATAGACATAATAATCTAATAATAATCTTGGAACTGCAGAGCTGAAAGGGACCTTATGTGTCAAGGAGGCACAGTGGAGAAATGAAGTCCTAACCTCTGGCTCTATGGACCAGATACATCCTGAACCACTAGACATGTGTTCATAGAACTTGGAATGTTACTTTTTAAAAAATCATTTAGTTACTATTTTGAGATCCAAAATGTAGCTAGTTATTGTGGCAGATACAATTAAACAAACAAACACCTTTCACACTATTCAAAAGAAACCAGTTACTTTTTTGCTGATTTAAAAAAAATTCATAGTGCTACGAGCCTGAGATACACAAGAGACCTAAGTCGTGAGGCCACACATCCCGTGTTAATGTAACTATAACTAAAGTTACACTGGAGATGGAAAAAAGGTACATTGCAATTACTTTTATTATGATTAACAAAATTATAGGTAGTTACTTCAAAACTTTGGATTTTAGGGACCAGACGTGTTCACAATATTATGCGCTTATCACATTGCCTTAAATCATTGATCTCTTTATTTCTGACAATCTTGGAATTAGGTTTGTGCAGTGAAAATTGGGTGAATACTATTGGGCCTTTTTGTGTCATTTTGGTTTCAGGCAGTTTGGACAGTAAGTACTAATAATTCACAAGCAGTTCTGGAGTATATGATATAACAGTCTTGATTAATTTAACCTTTTTGGAAATTGGTCATTGAGAACACTTAGATGATTAATTTGTTTAGTCTAGAACTCTCACCCTTTCTAGGATGTATATTTCTGCAGTGTGGATTTCTTCTACCCCTAGCACTGCCATTCTCTGGATTAGCAGCATGTAACTTTTAATGAAGTATATTCTGATGTTTTTGATAGGAAATGATAGATTATTCAGTAAATGGCTCTCAGTGAATCTACTTAGGTTTGTAAGCACTACTGTGTATAAACAAACACTAGCATTTCTGGACAATATGAAGAAAGGGACATTTGAAGGCAGAAGTGTGAAGAGCTGTGGTTTGTCAGTACCAGCAAGAGAAGCAAAACCAGCTATATTCAGGCGGATGTTAATAAGAGACTGTCTGATAAGAAAATAGAAGGAGGAGTTCTTAAACATGTTTTTGACTTATAAAACAAATACTGCCCAGCAAGAAAAGGCCAGGGGATCAACACCTTTACACTTTTCAGGCTCCCTCCTTTGAGCTTTAGGAGGGCACCATCACACAGTAAAAGTCTGACGTTGGCTGTATTTGGAGCTGGGATGAAGCAGCTCGTACACTTAGGAAAGAAGATGAGAAAATAATTGGGGTCTGGGCATTTCTTTGCTTCTATAAGTACATTATAAGAAGACAGACATGATCACAGAGCAGTGAATTTCTAGTTACTCTTCTGATTTGACTTGCTATGGGAAACTACTAGAATAATCTAGAAGTACTGTTTCTCCCCTCTTATTTGGCAAGCTTCAGAAGGCGCTGGATGTCAGGCTCAATATTGGTAGTGAGGAATCGGGGGCTGTAGCGTTTGAAAGGTTCTCCTTCAGGCCCCACCAGGAACTTCTCAAAGTTCCACGAAATATCATTGCGCTGCACTGGATTCCATACGATGAACTTGGGTTCCATCATGAGGCAGGAAGGGTTATCTTCTGGGTAGGGAAGTTTGTCCTTCAGATAGGCAAAGACTGAGTGGGTGTTCTTGCCATTCACTTCACATTTCTGACAAAGTATGAAGTTGGGTTGAAATCCAGAACCAGGCCGTACGTGTTTCAAGCTGTTGAGGATTTCTTCATTGGTACAGTTCTCCTGTCAAGGTGAAACAGAAAGCATGAGGATAAATTGAAGCCTGTGTAGCTGAACATAAAGCTTGGTCTGTTCCCTGCCTCTTTTATTAGCAGTTGTTTAACAATTCAGGCACAACTTTGACTCACTCCTGTCCATGCTGCTGTTAAATACATGACTAAACTGACTTTATATTGAAGCACTATTTCTGGAGAGGATGAAACTTACAGTCAACTCACATCAGGAGGAATGTGGTGGCTTACAGCTGCCACAGACAGATGATTGGGTTGTAATTTCAAAGTGGCAACTTCTTGATTTATTTAATATTACTGCATTTTGGCTGCCAAGTAGAGGTACTTGTGGGTTTATTGCTTTACATATCCCAATATCTTAGTCATCCTGTTCCTTGCTTGGTAGTGGTGGCAGGTGTCATTAGCTGTTCTACCTCAGGTTGTAAAAATGTTCTTCACTGTCCTAGGCTTTCTAGAATAAGGGCAAGAGCAAGGAAGCTCATTGGTTTCAAGACAAGAGCTTGATACATCTACACCTATATCTACACACACTTGTAAGGCAAACTAACAAGCAGAAGTATTTAAGCAAAATGTTTCTTTCAGGCTTGACTTTCTGCAATGGCTCTGGTAAAAGTATGCTGTATACACATAAGGGGCATTCTGTTTCTAAGGCAGCACAGTATCTTCAATTGACTTCTGCACAAAAGGAAACTACTTCTTCACAACATGTTGGGGAGATCTCTGATGTCTACTGTCACATTTTTATAGTCAGTGTCTGTGCTCACCCCCTGCCTTCAATTGTTTTCCTTCTTGGGTAAGGCCAGTCAATGATTTATTCTGTATATTCAGATCCTTTACGATCCGTATTCTGAAGCCTAGGAGGAGCAGATTAGAGATACAGTAATCTGGAGGAAGGTGACTCATAAGAGGTCTATGATCATGAAACCCTGCATGCTATTGTATGCGTTCTTTTTGATGTACAGTACTAGAGAAGATTAGGTAGAAGGCTATATTTGGGAGAGAGGTTTTGGTAGGCTTCCCAAACTCTGATTCTGATTAGGAGTAGGATGGCCAGATGTCAATGAGAGCAGGGCTTCTGCAGCTTTGTAGTGTTGAGGATCTCTGCTAGAATCACCTGTTTTGGACTGCTTTGGACATTACTACCAACAGCACAATCCTGTAGATGTTTATGAAGAAATAAATCCAGCTTCATTCAGTGGGACTTTCATTGAGCAAGGGAATATTGGCTTGCACTCTGTGGAGACAATCCCATCCTTGCCTGAAAACATCCTTAGGGAACACATTGAACAAGAGCACCTTGTAACAGTAACACTTCTGCTTTCTTTAGTCAGGTGCCTTCCAGGTTTGTTGGATTGTGACTCCCATCATCCACAGCTAGCATGCCAACAGGAGCTATAATTCAGCTCACTGGGAAGGCACAGGTGGAGGTACTGTATAATTTCCTTAATGACTTCTATAATTAGCAGAGCCACAAATAGTCTTTGGACGGGATGCAATTCTAGGCTCTACACATGCTAAAAAATTACCAGCATTGTATTGACCTGGAGCTGCTGGTGTGTTACTTACCAAAAGTAATTTATCTGATAAATACTGTACAGTTTATTAGGTCTCTAATGGGGTTGCTAATTGTTCCTTTTTAACAGGGTTCCTTTAAAGAGCTGTTCTTGTTATGATTTGTCAAGTTGCCTCCAAGTTATGGTGACCGTATGGACCTTCAAAATGTCCTATAACTAACAGCCCTGAACAGCTCTTGCAAACTGTTGCTTCCTTTATGGAGTCTTGACCTCATATTTGTTTTTCCTCTTTTCCTGCTGCCTTCAATGTTTTCTAATAAAGTATTATTGTCTTCTTTAGTGAATCTTGTCTTCCCATTATGTGTCTAAAGTGTGACAGCCTCAGTTTTGTCATCTTTGCTTCTAAAGAGAATTGAGGCTTGATTTGACGTAAGCCCCCCCTTTTTGGTGATATCCAAATGCTCCCTTCCAGTATGATATTTTGGAAAATCAACAATAGTATTTTCTTGTTGGGTTTCTTCATTGTCCATCTTTTACATTTGTACATAATAAATGGGAAAGTATTTTCTTGTTGGGTTTCTTCATTGTCGATCTTTTACATTCGTACATAATAAATGGGAATACTGTACAGTAGTGTGGATGATCTTGATGTTGGTTCCCAGTGATGCTTCTTTACACTTTATCATCTTGTCTAGTTCTTTCATAGCTCATCTTCTGAATCTCAGTCTTTTGATTTATTGGCTCCTTTCTCCATTTGGATTGTTGATTGAACCAAAGTGTACAAAATCTTCAACAATGTTAATTTTTTCATCATTATTAAAGTTATGTAGTATTGATTTTTGTCTTCTTAATGTTCAGCCTCAGCCCTACGTTTAGCATATTATTTCATTTTCATCAGGAGTCATTTCAAGTCACTGCAGCTTTCTGTCAATAATATGGTGTCATCTGCATATCTTGAACTATTGATGCTTCTTCCATCAATTTTCACTCCTCCTTCAGCTTAATCTAATCCAATTTCCCATAAGTTCCACATATAGATCGAATAGATAGGGAGATAAAATACATCTTGGTTTAATATCTTTGCCTCTGAGAAACAATTCTGTTTCTCCATATTCTGTTTCTCCCAGCATTAGCTTCTTATCCATAATATCTACATGTTAAATAATACTGAAGTTCATTTGATACAGAGTAACTGTCTTCATGCATGCAACAGAGGATCCTGACTGTGCTCAACTGATTACTCCTTTTCAACTGTAAATTACAAGTACAGTATTGCTTTAGCAATTGCATGAATGCTGAGCATAGTTTTGAATTTGTTCCCTGGCACATCGCTGCTTTTGTTCAAGTATCTATTTCTGAAGTTTTTTTTAATTATTATTTTAAAATCATAATCTAGATATTAGTCATCCTCAATCTTTTCAACGAATAAAATATCTGAGTATTTTTCCTATACTCCAAAAAGTCTAATCAAAAGCAAATCCAACATTAAAATGCCCAGCTTCCAAGGAGGTATGCATAGAACTCTCTCTTATTCAAAGGCACAAGAACAAACAAGATCACCTTGTACACATCCAGTCTCATCTGACTTTGGAAACTAAGCAAAGTCAGTTTTCCTTAGTACTTAGATTGGAAACCACCAATAATACTTGGTCTGGTCTGGTTAGGAGGGAATCCTGCCTGAAACTCTGTGGAGCTGTTGCCAGTATAGTGTTAGGTGGACCAGTGGTCTGACTTGGTGTAAGGTAACCATGTTCCTATATGCTGAAAAATACCTAGGGTAATGTAGTGGATAAAGTGATGGACTAGGGATCAGGAGACCTGGATTCAAATACTGTATGGGCTCAGCTATGGAAGCTCGTTTGGGGTATGGAGCTGGTAAAACTACTCCTTAAGTAACTAACTTACCTTGAAAAGCCCTATTAGGGTTGCTGTGAGACAGTTCTGACTTGATGGCACATGACACAATATATGCTGAAAGAGAGAATTATCTTACAGGTCCAGGAGAAAGAAACTGAGCCATCTATAATGGGAAAAGGGTAAATCAGAGAGAATGACGCAAGGCAGTTTACCTGGTAGCCAAACTGGTTGCAAGGGAAACCCAGGACAACCAGCCGTCGAGGATATTTGCTCTGCAGCTGGTTCATCTGGGTGTAGTCCCTCATGGTTGTGGCTCAGAGGGAGGCCACGTTCTCGATCAAGACCACTCTCCCCCTAAAATTGTTGAAATCCACTTTCTCTCCTTGGAGGTCAGTGGCGCTGAGATCATAGAAGGATTTGGCGATGGCAGTCATGGCTGCAACAACCAAGAACAGCAGCAACAGCAGCAGTGAGCACCTGGTGGATATGCTCGTTGGCTTAAAATGCTTCTCTGGGTGCTTAAGATGATTGGTTGTATGCAAAAGGCCTTTCTTACTGGGGTGTGATGTACAGAAAGTGGAGCCGTGCCCTGTTATCGATCCAGCTCTTTACTGAATTGGAACAAAGCAGCAGGTCAAGCCACAGCGGTGCTCCATTACAAGCCTGTAGCTCGGGAAGGATATCCGAGACCTTGCAGTACTTCGCCCAGGTCTCAATAATTCATGCTGCTGAAGAAATAAAAAGGCCTATTGGAAGAACGACAATACATTCTGATGTGCATTTTACTCAGGATTCTATCTTCAGTGGGGCTTCCTGCCTAGTAAATGTATTTAGGGTTGCAGCCAAAAGGGCAGAGGCTTTTGACTGTTATGCCAGCATTTGAGAGTTTTGAATGGAGCTCATTCAGGCCAAATGCTATGCTGGGTATACCTGCAGGTTGGATATTAGGTGGGCATCCTTAAGAGCAAAGTCTCTTGGCACAGATACGTTTGCAAGATGAGATTGGAACCCAGATGTGAAAGTGAGGTGTACAATGCTAAGATGGAAGTAGCCAGTTAGCTAGGAAAGACTGGTGTGAGCAGATCCATTCCTGACCACGTCTCCGTCTTGTACTGATGAGACACATTCTGTTTAAGATGTCTGTTAAGAGGGCTTGACAGGTGGCATTTGTCTGTCTTCCTGCTGATTATGATACAGTGTCATTCTTTATTCAGACATTAATGATGGTGATGAAGAATCTGCATCTTGCACAAAAGACATATAGTGCCAGGGGAAGGCAGCAAATGGTTTGTGAGCCTTAAGGTGAAAGGAACCATTATTCTCAACTGCAAGCTAGTCTCCTGTAAAATGGTAGACTGGAATGGAGGCTGGTGTCCAAATCAACCCTTTGGAAAATCAGCTGTCATCTTTGCACTAGTGCTGACACTGCCTTTTGCAGGTCTGAGAAAAGGTGAGGTGACCATTCTGATGGACCATCTCCTTTTTTTAAAGGGAGTCCCCCTTACCTTTTGAATGAAACTGACCCAGCTGGAGGGTTAAAGGCCAAGGATCAAATTTCTGTTTGGAAAGGGCAGTGGTGATGTGGAGATGATTCCACCCATGGCTAAATTTAAGGGCATAGGCCAGAGCCATAGCAAAGTGCAATACAGACATTTCCCCTTTAAGCATATAAAGTACACCTAAATTCTATGCATATCTCTACTAAAACAAGCCCCAGGGCCATAGGTTTCCTGCCTACAAAGTACAACCCTGTGCCAAGAAGGTATCCATAGTTTTAATATATTTAAAAATAGTCTTCTCTTCTGGTCATTGTGGGTTTTTCGGGCTCTTTGGCTGTGTTCTGAAGGTTGTTCTTCCTGCCGTTTTGCCAGTCTCTGTGGCCGGCATCTTAGAGGACAGGAGTAGCCCTCGGTGCTCTGATCTCCTCCTGTCCTCTGAAGATTCCGGCCGCAGAGACTGGCGAAACGTTAGGAAGAACCTTTCAGAACACGGCCAAAGAGCCCAAAAAACCCACAACAACCATTAGATCCCGGTCTTCTCTTCATTAATTGATTGGAGATAAGAGCGGGCATATGGGTCTGATGAGGAATCCTGGCAAGCAACGTGCGCTCCACCTATTTGTTAAGCTCAGCTAGCGATCCATCCCTTCAGTTCTGCTCTGGAGGCCCATCATCACCAAAATACAGTTGTGATTTTCTTCCCCAAACCCAGGAAAATGTGGAGCTTTAAAAGAAAAGTAAGTTTATTTACAGTATGTGATCTTTTGCAGACATTGAGTGGCAATTTCCTTTCAGAAGACTACAGCCAGAGTTCCAGATAATTTCTCAAAAGTACAGAATTCCAAATAAAGTCACTCTGTCTTAGCCAGTTAACAGATTACAAGCCTTTGAATAGTCTTGGGTTTCAGAATATAACGCAGAATATGTAGCAGCACAGATGGTCTTAGGATCATCTAGCCACTGAGAGATCTTACTAGAAGAGGGGGAAACTTTTACAAGGCTAATAGTTCAATAAAAACTTAATTCCCTAACAAGTAACTTGCATTGGCTAACATGGTACCCTACATTTCTGATGTCAGTGGCCTAACCAGCAGAACACTACTTAGCAGCTGGAACCACTTTTGATATATCTCTACCATGTTTTCCCGAAAATAAGACAGGATCTTATATTAATTTTTGCTCCAAAAATGCATTAGGGCTTATTTTCAGGGGATGTTTTATTTTTGCCATGTACAACCATCTACATTTATTCAAATGCAGTCATGCCATCTTCTTCTGGTTGCTGCATAATGGTGGAGGGTGGGGGTTCACTTAACTGGGGCTTATTTTTGGAGTAGGGCTTATATTACAAGCATCCTGAAAAATCATACTAGGGCTTATTTTCAGGTTAGGTCTTATTTTTGGGGAAACTAGGTGATGTACATCTCAAAAGAGCCACTTCTGAACCAGGTAGTATATAATAAAGAAGAGCTTTAGGTTTTAGATATGTAGAAGGATGTGAAATTGTCTATTCAGGTTTCCCAGTATAGTGCCAACTATAGATCCCCTGCTAACACATTTATCTGTTATATTCCATATGCAATTATTATGTGCATGGAATAGATCCAGATGTTCCCAAACTGTTCTCACCTCCAAAATTCACTTTCAGGGTTTGCATTGCTATGAGAATCCTAGCATAGCATTTTGATATTTATTTCTATGTAGCCACAGTGCACATTCTCTTTCCAAACTGGCCAGATAATGAAAACCTTTAATGAGAATTCTGCTGCTCCTGGCACAAGAAACATGTTGAATTATTAACAGCTGGATCAGATTTCCAGTGAGCTCAAGCAGACAACGATAGGGCATGTAACCAGAGTACAGTATAGTAATCAGAGATAATTTTCAAAACGAAATTAAACAGAATGACGCTCCTCTCCTAATACAAGCTCCTCCAGTGTCTGGGTAAAACATTCCAAGAACACAACAGACGCACCAACTATATTGCCTGTGCTATGTAGCTAAATAGAAATTGCTTGTGATGTTTTCAGTGTACGCCTTGTCTCTGCTTTCATTGCAAACCAAGCAGTTTTATTGCTGCCCTTGGAAGACAACATGGATGCTGCAGCAAGCGCAGCATGCAGCAACTCGGCTGCTCGCAAGAACACCTTTCAAAGCTCAAATGATAACAGTTCAGAAAAAAATGGACTGGCTACCAATATGCATCCAGACAGAGTTTACCATGTTGACGATAACCTATAAAGCCCTAAACAGCTTGGTACCTGGATACTTGAGGAGATACCTCTCTCTGTATACACTTCTCTGTGTCCCATGATGGAAGAACGATCCACTAGGCAGACACATGGTAGAGGGCTTTCATGGCTGTGGCTCATTTATGGAATGCTTTAGCCTTAGAGGCTGAACAAATGGCTTACATTAATCTCCTATCACTGTCAACTTAAAACATGCGTTATTCACGAAGGCCTTTTGGGATTTAGCATCATGGCTTTAATAGGATATGCAGGCTTTATTATTGTTGGTTTTAATGTGTAGCTTATGTTTTAAAAATATTATTTTATCTTGCTTGGAATCCTGTTGGGAAAATAAACAAGCATAAATGGCAATATCATCTGCCTGCAATAATAATCTTTAATCTGACTCAGTGTAAAGCTCCTTACCCCCTCCCCACTTCAGGTTCCGAGGCTTTCTAGGCATCCCTTTTTCGACTGGGGGAAGCCTTTAGAAGCTTTCGGGATGAGGTGAAGAAGTCTTCACTATCCAAAAACTGCTGCCACAGTACTGATACGGACAGTAAAAGGCTCCCTCCACCACTAACACATCATGATGCTTCCAAAAGGTTTCCTTTGGGAGCCTCAGAACCTGAGTGGGAGGCTGCAAGACGTTTTAAATTAAACTAAAGACTAACACTGCAGGCTGATGAAGCCGTTGTCATTTATGCCCAAACAGCCCCACCAACAGGATTCCAGATATTGTTTAATTGTTGTACTCCGTCCTGAGATACAGGGCAAAATATAAATGTTTTAAATGTAAATAAATGAAGTAAAATAAAATAAAAAAACGTTGAATCCGTTTTGAATGAGCTACATGCAGGCCAGTAGAATTTTCTGAATGTGTTTGGAAAAGTTCACTATTCAATCTCCTTTGATTTACATTAGCGACAACATTGGGACTCTAGTTCTTGGAACTTGCCACCCAGTTAGCTTCTGCCAGAAAGCAAGTATTGTACAGTATTAAACTCTCCAGAAAAACAACCCAATGATCTTCACGGTCAAATGGAGATTTTAAACCAAGTCTCTTTGAATCCTGGGCTCAGCTAACCATTCAGTAAGGAAATACAGCAGTCACCAACCACTTTGAGAGACTCTTTATTTTGTAAAGTTCTGTTTCTTTGTTTAAAATAATGGATTACAATGACAGATCATACAAGGGAACCCAGTCAGAGTGCAAAGTTCACAAGTTACAGACACAGCAGAGGATTCAGAAAGATGCAAGTTTGGCTGGATCCTTCACAACATTGCGTGTGTAACAGTTTCCGCTACGGACAGATGAGTTGCTAGAACCCATAACTCCAAATACTGTACTGTTTATAACCAGATTCCCAGTATCCTCCACACTTTCCCTCTCACACACTGGCCTGATATCCAGGGAGCCCTTTGTGGCCACTACAGAAGGGCCCCTCTATACCTGCAGAGAGAGAACTGGCATCAGATAAGAGGAGACACTGCTCCTCACGGAAGGGTTGCCTAACAACAACCCAGAGGCTTCATCAAGACCAGAGGTGTGTAGATCTGTGTTTTCTATTACAGTGACCAGAATTCCCCAGGCAGCCTTGCAATAGTTCAAAAATACGAATCTACACACCTCTCATATGCAGCTTGCAAGTATCTGCACTCTAGAAAGAGTCATGGCTCGGTCTAAGGGCAATAAGAGTTCCAGTTTACTCCAGAGATAGGCAAAGAGTCTCACACACCCACAACTCTTTCCTCACATGCTGTAGTGAAGATACACTGCAATTGATCTTGTGCGTTGGTAACAGCATCAGCAGGCCAGTTTCTATTATACTAATGAAAGAAGAGCAACGTTTTCAGATTGTAATTGGAGAAAACAGCACCAACATGATGCTGGACTCTTAACAGGCAAGGAAAGGTTATAGAGGAGAAAAACAGCCATGGATCTGCCAAGGACCAATACTTTTTATCTGTCTGGTTTACAGGATCTGGAATCAGACTTTTCTCAGGGCAGCTCACACCACAAGAGTTTTTACAAACAGTATGTGAAAGAAACATAGAGTTACCCATTCATACAACTATTCTGCAGGTTGGCCACATTTGCAGGTTATTTGTTTTATTCTCCCCCCCACCCCCAATTGTTCTAAGCACATGGCAAATAGGTTATTTAAAATTTCTCTTCACATTCAAGTGCCAAGGCCACCCTACGTAAGCCTTCCTACCATGGTTTAAAAAGCCACAGAACCAAGCAGGTGCCTTGTCTCACAACAAGCCCGTTCATCTTGTACACAGAACAGAGGAAAGTTTTTTTTTTTAAGACTGCAGCTTCTAGAATTCTCCCTATTAGCAGAGACAGTGCCTATGCTGGTTGAGGGATTCAGGAAGATGTAGTCTAAAAGGAAAAAAAATCAAGTTCTGAATACAACCATACAGACGATATTTCAGAAAAGTAAAAAGTATCAGATTTTACAGGAGAGCCCACACGAACTGGCCTCCATTTCCCCCTTGTAGCTGATTTTGGACCAGAGACCATAAGCTCTGATAACATTTCCAAAAATTGGCCAACAGTGTTCAGGCTGCATGAAAGACATGGGAGCAAACTTCTCTTGCTTTGGCACATTCCATTTTCCTGTCTTTGCCCTCTTCGAACAAAACTTTCTACTTTACCGTGACGTTCTCCCTGAACTCATGTTAAATGCAATTTAACATTTTCTAGTAGACTCCACAAAATGCCAGTTGGCTAATAATGGCTACTTACGTCTCTAATTAATGTCTCTGAAGTCTCTGGCCTCACACTGATACTGACAGAACCCCCCTCTCTGGGGGTTAACCATTTCATGTCTTCTCAACAGATCCCAAAATGGGACGATTCTTAACTGCCCCAAGGCAAAATGACCCTTATGCCAGCAGAAGATGGTATGTGTAGAACATCATGATGTCCGTACATTTTAATGGCTCTACAGCAGTTCAAAGCCACCCAGCACAAGAGGTAAAACAAAAGGATACACAATTTAAAGTGTTGCCTTTTTGGAACTGCCAAACACTTGAGTCAAGCCAACTTAGTTTCACTTCCTGCGCTATTCCTGTTTCCTCCTTGGGGACATCATTAAATCAGCTCCACAAAATGTTGGGCGAAGTCAACATACAGGAGAAGAAGGAAAAAGCACAGGGATGTAGGTCTGTCTGCCATCTGGCATTTGCTTGTGGCTAGGAAACAGGAGCTTACGGCACACAATTACTATGGACTGGATGGCTCAGGTCCAATGGCAGGAGGAGATCTCTGTATGGACACCCCATCCCAGCCAGAATGCCTCCTGGCAACAGACATTGCTTCTGAATCAGCAACTATAATCTATTTCCGGCAGGTGTACAGAGAAGAGTGCTCACAGCATCCCCAAGGTACATAGGGAGCAACTACTCTGGAGCAGGCAGGCATATAAGATTAGAATACGAGGGCATGCCACTGAGCGTGTTTGGCCTTCCCCATGGAATAAGTTGATAATCAGCCAGAAGGAGGATGCCCGTGCAACATGCATGTGGGTTTTGGCTTGCTCTGAATGAGCACGGTTAGTTGCGCATGGCAAAAATCACCTCACTGGGACAAACCAGCTTGCATTTCAGGACCTCACAGAGAGGTCTTCAGCAACTTCTTGCAGGCTGGACCTTGAGTGTAAAAAATAGTGGAAGGTTCTAGGCACGGGTTATAATGTTTGTTTACATACCAGAGCTTTGGGGGAGTTTATTATCGGGAAATCCTTCCAAGGGAGCTCTCAAAGCCAGGTCAGAACCTGGGCCATGTAGATAGGATTGGCTCTCTGTCTCCACTGGTACAGAGATATACCGTCTCAGTGGGTAGCTGATATACTTGTAGTGCCCCCCCCAACACGCAAGAGGAGCCAAGGAAACATTCCCTAAACATTTTAAGTAAGTCACAGGGAAAGGCCTGTCCTTCTTGTACAACACAGGGTTCTAAGGGGTTCTTAGATATCGAGTCTAGTCTGGCTAGGAAGAAGCAAACATTCCTTTCTCTGTAACTGGTAAGGCGCATCTGAATTAAAGCTACCAATGTCACTATACAACCCCCTTCCTAGGACAGCTAGACTTCTGTTGTTCCCACCACATATATTTACCAGGTCAAGATGGCTGTTACGTACTTTTTGGAGAACAATCCAATTTTTTGGCAAAAGGTCTACAAGAATTAACAGTAAATTCCAGACAGCCCCAGATGGAGGAGATCCTGCCTCTGAGGCAACAGCAGAGCCCCAACTCTCGTAGGTCAGTGCCTGCCAGGACTCTGCACCCAGTTGCACGGCCAGGGCATCAGGACAGGCCATGAACTGACACAAGGCAAAGCATCTGGTGAGAAGTGTAGGGTGGCAAGAGTAACAAACCATCTGCAGGCTTGTGCTGCAAAGTGGGTTATAGCGAATGGTCTGCCTGGGAAACTGGGACAGAAACAGCCCCCTCTCCCTGAACACCCTTGTTCTTGAGAGGATGGGCTCAGACCCGTCAGGCACAGGAACAAACCCCAAGTGGCTCACCTGCCCACGGGAAGGGGGCAAGGGCTGCGGCACACCAGGATGCCTGAGAGGCCAATCAACCGTGGCTGCCAACCACAGTTTCTTCCAGGTAGGCGACAAGGTGATATTCTGCATATCATGAGCCATCTGAAGAGATTTGGATCCAGGGCATTTTGGGGACAACAGAAACCACCAATCAAGGAGAAACACCAGGAAACCCAAGGAGGATCCAGTAGGGCAGATGGTGGGCAGGCCGGCCGGCCACCAATGACCAGAAGGATGGAGCACAGCAAGCCAGCCCTCTTCAGGTGACAACCTTTCTACCTGCACTCTAGGGGTGGGAAGGAAAAGGAAGGACACTGGGAAGCCCTCAGCACCAGCAGGTCTTGGAAGAGTGCTCTGTGCCCTCTGGCTTGCTTGCCTCTTCCTCCAGCTCAACCAGGTTCAGTTCGTCAGCTGCATACGCACGGAGTCCCTCCAGCTCCTTTTTGTGGGCCTGCAGGACCAGCTCTGTCAGACGAGTGAAAGACTGAAAGGAGATACATGAGAGAGAGAGAGAACCTTGAAAGTCCTATTAGAGTCGCTGTACGTCGTTTCTGACTTGATGACACAGAACATACACAAGTTTAGAACAGCCTGAAAAGAAGTTCACACAACAGGTGTATCTGCTGGCTTATGAGCACCGCCCCCATTTAAATATCTGAGGTACAGTGGTGCCCCGCATAGCGAGCGCCCCGTTTAACGAATCTGCATAGCGACACGTTTTTTGCAATTACAAAAGAGATTGCATTGTGGCGTTCTCAATGGCCAAAAATTGCATTCCAATGATCGGTAAGCATTTTGCTTAGCGATCTTCGCATTGCAATGTTTTAAAAACAGCTGATCGGCGGTTCCAAAATGGCTGCCGGAAAAAAATGGCCACCCGCAGTGTTTTCACGTGGTTTCCCTCGCATACCGGGCAGTGAAAATGGCGGCTGTATGGAGGATTTCTGCATAGCAGTGAGTTTCCCCCCATAGGAACGCATTAAATGTGTTTTAATGCGTTCCTATGGGGTTTTTAGTCCCGCATAGCAATGAATCCAGATAACGATGATTTTTTCAGAATGGATTATCATTACTATGCAGGGCACCACTGTACATTATCAAGTACTGGGCTCCCAGCAACTTTCGCTTCAGCTTCCTCCTTTAGTGCTGATTTTTATTTGCTACTGGTGAGTATATCTGTAATGTACCTTGGTCTAAGAAGGAGACGTAGAGCGATTACATCTAACCAGGTGTACAATGAAGAGAGGTATTAGCTTGGAACCATACAGGAACACATACACTTGTGTTTGGGAAGCATTTCATCCCCTCCCCTATTTTATAAATTTGTGTTAAAAGCCTGATCGTACAGAACACCATGTGCTATAGTACCAACTGGCTAAATGCAACTAGATGCAGTGGCATTTCATTTTTTGACAAATCTCATCAAGTTTAAACAGCTTTTTGTGATCAACCGATAGGAACACAAGAATTATAGACATGCTTATCTCCCACTAAAATTAAGAGATGAACCACCCACTGAAACGAATGTACCAAGCAAGCATCATTGTGCAAGCAGTAGTAGCTTTGCACTGACAGAAAGCATTTCCACTTGCACAGAAGCAGCTGATTTTAATCAACCCCTCTAAAAAGGTGCCCCTAAGAAGCTGCTCTATAGGGGAATCATGCCCTGAGAGCAGATCTGGGTTATGAAACAGAGAACAGAAGTTGGCAGGTCAAAATCCCCACCTTGTGAAACTGGAACTGCTTTCAGCACACATGGCACGACAACTGAACACAGCTCATAATTTATTTTTGTGAACATTTTCATTTTAGTGAAATAGCATAGTGTACTCCCCACACCCAAGGATGGATGGTAATAGCTCCTTCGGGTTTTCCCTCCACTGCTCTTTATCTTAGACTGTTCTGCAAGAATGGTGCATTGAACAGGAATTCCCGGTCACATGGAAGTTTGGTACCCCAGATCTTACCTCTTTGATATTCAAGTTGGTGCAGGCACTTGTTTCATAAAAATCCATGCCATACTCTTTGGCCAGCTAGAAAAGAGACACCCCGATAGATTTATATACAAACACAATGATTCTCAAGATTACTTTGGTTTCTCAAAACTCATATCCCCTTTTCTTTTCCCCTCTACCACTAGGAAGGTGACTTTTTTATAAGCTTCCAAATGGGTAAAAAGAAGCTTTAGAGGCATGTCCTGTCTTACTGAATGTTTTTCCCTAGCACAGGGTTAAGAGACCAATGGACTGATGTTGAGATCTAGACTTCCAAGTCCAGCGTTTATAAAATAGCAATCCACCCACACCAATCTCAACAAGAAACAAAGAAAGAAAGCAGGCGCTCTCTGTATTGTATCCTCACCCAAGGTTTCCTGACTGTACCCCGATATTGAAGGAACTTATATGCTTCATTATGAAAGAAAAACAAAAACAAAAAACAACCCAACACATAAATTCTCTCTGCATTATGGGAAAGTGCTCCACATATGCTAGTTTTCTATCTGCAGTGAAGCTTGTACATAGAAGCAATGCAAACCTTGTGACCCCAGCTGCAGTCTCAAACGGGGCAGCTGAGAAGAAGATTTACATCCCTGCTATTCATGAAGATCTGGCTTTGGTGGAGGACAACTAGGGCCCGTTCAAGACATTTACCTGGAGGCCTTGCTCTCTGCCTACTTGCCTCTTCTCTTCTTCATCCGCTTTATTCCCAATGAGGATCTTCTGGACACCCTCTGGAGCATACTGGAAAGAAAGGGAGAAACATTAGCCCCGTTAAAATCTGTATGGATTCACAGCTGCAGGAGACCTAAGCCATTAGGTACTGCCCAGAGCCTGGACTTGCAAAAGATACCTTTTGAGAAGGATGACAACTCCCAGAAACCCCAACCGGCATGGCCAGTGGAAGATGGGCTGGGTGTAAGTGCAAAGAGATGACTTTTCCAAGCTCTGCTCAGATTTAGGTCTGGCACACAACCCAATCCTATGCCTTTAACATTTGAGAAGTGTGGAGAATTTCCACAGCAATGGCTTCTTTGCTTGTTGCAGGACAATCCCTCAATAAATGGCATCTTTCAACATACTGCTGAACTTACACAGCTATTAGAAACAATACTAACCCATCTTACAGGCCATGAGACAACTACAGAGTAAAATCACTAAAAGTTACGCCTCTGAAAAGTAGCCAAACACTGGCTGAGTTACACAAGCTTATCAAAACCGAGTCTCTGGGTCTGAGCCATGTTGCCTCCTTCAGTTCTGACTTGTTTGTTTTCCCTCTGCCAATTAAGTATGGTGCCAAAGAAAAAGAAAAAAAATTACAGAGCTGGTGCAGCACAATGGCTAAAAGAGTTAGCCTATAATTCAGCCAATCAAGGTACTAGTCCCCATGCAGCTCTGAAATTCACTGAGTGATCTGGGACCAAATATTCTTGCTTAGCCTAGAGTAAAATGCAGAGAAGCAGAACCATGTCCATTGCCTTGAGCAAAATGGGGGACACCAGAATATAAATTGAGAGCTGTGACAGAATGCAAAAGGGGCTGCAATTATCCAAAGCATTTGCAGTTGTGGCCCTCCAGGTGTTTTTATGTGTGGTTCTCATACTACTTTGCCACACACACACTCAGCAGAATCAATGGCGAAGTATTATGAGAAACACACACACACATCTGAAGGGTGTATATCGTGGACCACACTTGTCCACTCCTATATCTTCTCAAGATTAATCTACTGCTAGTCTTACAAAGGCTCTAACTACCTTATGGTGCGTATTATAAGCTCTATGCTTCTCAAGCTGAGGAGGAAGGCACCCATTTTGCCATAGCATCATCTTTTATGTTTGATCAGACATCCTTCATTTCAGTAAATGAGGCAGGAGTAAGAAGCAAGGTGCTCCTCTTGCTTACCTCATCCACATCACTGGCCCACTTCATTATATGCTGATATGAGCGTTCACTGCTTATGTCATACACCAAGAATATCCCCTGAGGAGAGAACCAAGTCAAGGATGGAACAAGTGGAAAGATGGATGCCATGACGTATATGTACTCATACAAGAGCAGAAACTCTACATAATCAAGTTCAGGGCATTCATTTGTTTTATATATACAGTGGTGCCTCGCTTAGCAATTGCCTCATTTAACGATGTATTCGCTTAGCGATGAGGTTTTTGGAGTGATCTGGCGCTCCGTTTAGCAATGTTTCCAATGGGGAAATTTCACATAGCGATGTTCAGGACCTTGCTTCGCTTAGCGATGACAGTTTAGGTCCCCCTGTTTTGCTTAGCGATGTCCATTTTCGCTATTTTAAGTGTGTCTTAAAATGTTCAAAAACTGTTTAAAATGCTTGGAATCGTTAGTGTGCCTTGTAAAACCTTTGCAAACTTAATTTGGCTTTGTTCTGAGTCTTCGTTAATTTTTGGTGAATTTTTCCCCATTGGAATGCACTGAACTGTAGGTTTGACAGCTGATAGCGAAAACGGACCTGTCAAAACCATTGAAATGCATTGAAACCTATTCAATGCATTCCAATGGGGGAACTGCGTTTCGCTTAGCGATGGTTCCTATGGCAATTTTCGCTTAAGGACGGTAATCCGTTCCCACTGGAATGGATTATCTCGTTTTCAATGCATTCCTATGGGAAATGGTGTTTTGCTTAGCGATGTTTTCCCATAGCAATGTTTTTTTTTAACCAATTGACACTGCTAAGCGAGGCACCACTGTATACCCCTCCTTTCCTACAGTTCCCAAAAATCAAACAGTGAACATGGCAACTGGCTCTGTTAGTGGGAGATTCGGCGATCTATAGTAAGAAAAAAGAGTAACTTTTCCAAACTGTGAATAGGAATTACTGTTTTAGGGAGAAAATCCTCATCCCAGCCATCTATCAGGTTATCTCCCTGTGTTCCTGTAAAACATTTTGGTGGCAAGAAGTGACGATGATGAGCCATTACAGAAGTTCCTATGTATGTATTTATAACACAACAGACTGTGATGATTCCCACAGCTGGCATCAAGCCTTTCCCAACCCTTTTTTGACCACTCCTAGCCTTGCTTGAAAACAATCTTACCTGGGCACGTCTGTAATACTGTTTGGTGATGGTCTGGTATCGCTCCTGACCTGCAGTATCCCTGGAAAGGAAGCACAGGTCAATATAGTGGTAGAAAATGTCCATCTACTCACAGCAGATTCTTGTTACTTTTTCAGGATCTTCAAGCCCCATGGCCCACTGACAGAAATCTCAGCTCCATTCACTCACATGGATTCTGTACTGCACAGATAGGGAAACTTGGGTCCCCCAAGCCAAAGCCAGCTTGATCAACAGTCGATTATGGGGACTATAGTCCAAAGGACCTTTGGAGGGCCAAAGGTTCCCCGTCTTTGCTGTGTTGCATTGCTCTACTTCAGATTTTAGGCAATGGGGAATTCCCTATCCAAGGAGGGAGGGGCAAGTCTTGCATAACACAGTCACCAGGATCCTATATATACCATACAGTTTTTACCCGCCTGGTGAACTATCACAGCAGCTCCTATGCATGCATGTATGTATAATGCTTAAAATGTTCATGGACTCTGGCTGCATAGCTCAGTGAGTTGAGTATTTGGCTGTGGAGACAAAGGCTGCAAGTCTGATTCCCCACTGACTCCCCTGGGAGAAAAGTCAGACAGTGTGGCTTTGGGCAAGCTGCAGAGTCCCAGGGCACTCCCAGAAGAAGGGAAGGTTAAACTACGTTTGAGTACTTTATCCTTAGAAACCCCTGGAAAGGGCTGCTATAAGTCAGAATCAACTAGACGGTATGATGCTGCTGTTGTTTTTATGATCATTTATGCCAACAATCGTGTAATAGACATGACACAGAAGGAAAAATAGAAAGGGGAGAAAAAAATGCAAACAAGCAAGTTTAGCTAACGGTTATTATAGTTAAATACTGTAGTAGTTCTTATAATGAGCAACTTGGTCCATTGTCACAAGACAGGGGGATTCTCTTTTGTTACAACAGACTAAGATGACTGCCAGCTAGATCATATAGCAAAACTGTATTTTTGCTTTTAATGCCTTTTTCCGCACATACATTTGGTTTGGGCCGCGTGGGGGGGCAGCCCTAGCCTTCCTCCACAACCCCACTCCAAGCGCGCGCTTACCGGCAGCTGCGATCTTAGACAGCAGAGGCTGCCAGCTTCGACTCCGGTGGCTTTATGGGGCCGGGAGGGGGTCCACCTATTGACGGGGATGGCGCAATGCAGTCATGCAGCCCCCCTGTCCCCTCCCACTCCTTCCTTCCTTCCCTCTCTCCCCCTCTACGGTTGTGACATGACCCGGCCGCAAGCGCCGGCAATGTAACTTGAAACTTTGGAATTTCTTTAAAAATAAAAAATTGCACTGGGCCACATTATGAGCTGACCTGGGCCGCATGTGGCCCCCGGGCCGCAGGTTGGACAAGCCTGGACTAAGATGACTGCCAGCTAGATCATATAGCAAAACTGTATTTTTGCTTTTTATGCCTTTTTCACGACTGGCTTGCCTTTTGACCCACAAATGGTAATCACTAATATTGTTGCAAGGTGATTTCCCCTGAAATACACCCATGAAGGCACACAGCTGTTCAACTCTGGATGGGAGGTGTGATCTGCTTGCCCCCTGCTGGACAGAATTCAATAGGCTAGTAAAAGAAAGCTGTAAAGTCTTAGCTATCCAGAAAAATAATTCTTTTTCTACAATAAATGAGCAGTAACCATCAGTAAGGGGATTTAAAATCACCTTACTCTTGTTTTAAGTTCTCTGAAGGCTGCCTGATTTCAGAGAATTGACTTCAGAGAAACGAGATCTCTGAGAACTGCCTTTTTGGGACAGAAAAATAATTCATTTGGTTTGTATTTCTATTTTGTACCTCCAGACATTGGCAACAAACTTCAATCTTGCCTCAAAAATCTGTACATTTCTGAGGCATGCAATGTGCTTTTACATAAGAAAGAACACAAATGAAGCCATGTGTGGTTCTGAAAAACGTGAAGGACTAAAACACATGTATTTGAAAAGTACACACACAATCATCAGTCAACTGGAAAAAATATGTAAAGCCCATACTTTAATAACAATGAATACAACAACAGATGGATGCAGAAGAATGTTATAAACATTTTCATGTGGGAAGAAAAAGTATTGCGAAGTAATACAGAACTAAGATGGGATAAGAATGGCAGTAGGAGTCTGATAAGCACAACAGTGTTCTGTTTAAGGTAACAAAGCATAATGTTCTACCAGTACAACACTATACAATCTCCAGCTTGTCATTATGTAAGCTGGAAACCACCCCATTGAAATGAATGTGCCTGTACGCCTGTAACGGAGACCTCCTTGTGCAAACTTAGAAAAAGTCCATCTGCTCATGCAACGGAGCATTATGCAAGCTGAATGGATGAACAAGATAGGAAAACAAGCCTGTCCTTGCTGCAGTACATTTAACCTCTGCTTACAATCAAAGGGCAATCCATATCCCAAAGGCAGTGCAAGGAGTAGGCATCAATATGTCCTAAAGCACAATGGGAGGGGTCTTTTAAAATAATTGTTCAGAGAGCTGTCAAATGCACTCCAGAACAAGGACTCCTAAAAATAGCTTGCATCCACATCCAGAAAGATCATAGTATATTAGGAACGGGGAACCACTGGCCCACAGCTAAAGGCAGCCCATGGAATTCCCTCCTCAAAGAAACTTAGATTGATTCCATCTCTACCAAGCTTTAGGAGCATGTTTTCAATCTGTTCTTAAATATTTTAAGTACTGTATTTCTGTTTAATTTTTTTTTCCATTTGGTTTGAATGTATTCTTTACTTTTCAGAAAATTCCTTAGAAATAGATTATCGGAAGACTAAGATTATGGGACTTGAAAGAGGCCATAGTAAGAATACAGGAAGCTACAATACTGTACTGAGCAAACGAATCATTATAGCTGATTGGGTACTACTTCCAATCATCCCTTAACTGGGCAGGAAGCTACAATACTGTACTGAGCAAACAAATCATTATAGCTGATTGGGTACTACTGTACTTCCAATCATCCATTAACTGGATAAGGCAAAGCAGAGTAACAATATCAGCACAAATACTTTAGTAAGATTCCTCTCTATAGGGATGCAATCCTCCCCGTCCCCGTCTTAAAGGTCTGTAAAGCTAAGATGGTAAATAAATTGGTGTATAGCATACAACCATAGTGTAGATGAATGTGTAAAAAATGCTGCACAGAGGGTAGAAGTGGGCTCAGTGTCTGTATATATTACAGCCTGGACCTGTGCTCTTCATTTTTGGTTTTGTCTGCATGTGGACATGATACCAACTAGACACCTTGAACTGATGCTGGCCGATTCTTACACTAGAAGTTGATATAAGAAACTAAATAAAAGTTACTAAACTGGATAGGGCTGCCACTGGCCCAACTGAAGAGATACAATTATGTAGAGCACAAACAATGAATTAAGAAGAGGCTGTTGGACATAAGGTTATTAAGAGACATGGCCTACGGCAAATAGTATCTCTGCTCTATTAAAACAGGGTACAGAGCTACAGCTGGGTTATTCACCAGCTCACCACTTTTAGACTGCATCCACAGCCAAATACAGGAATCCAATTCAATTGTCTGCCTTCAGCAGTAATGGAGGTACAGTGGTGCCTCGCTTAACGAGTGCCTTGCTCAACGATGAATTCGCATGATGGCCTTTGCTGGAAATTTTGCCGCCTCACCTAACGATGTTTCCTATGGGGGATTTTCGCATAACGATGTTTGGGACCTTGCTTCACTTAACGATGACAGTTTTAGGTCCCCTGTTTCGCTTAATGTTTTTTTTGACAGCCCTGTTTTCGCTATTTTAAAAATATTCTAAAATGTTTAAAAAAATGTTTAAAATGCTTGGAATCGTTAGTGCACCGAATAAAACCTTCGTTAAAGTAATTTGGCTTTGTTCTGAGTCTTTTTGAATTTTTGGTGATTTTTTTTTACCACTGAAATGTACTGAATAGGCTCCTATTGGAACGGATTAACCAGTTTTCAATGCATTCCTATGGGAAATGGTGTTTCGCTTAACGATGTTTTCACATAACAATGTTTTTAATGGAACCAATTAACATCGTTATGCGAGGCACCACTGTATATCTTTTTTTTAAAAACTCCCTTCAACTTGAGATTCTGCCCCTGCCACTCAGGACATTTTGAAATTATAGAACACATTATTCTGGGACGTGTATTAAATAGCAATCTGAGGCCTACTTTATAAGTCAGCTACTTACTCTGTGGCTGGGACAGTCAGCCAGATTTTATGTTGCAAAATTATTGGAAAGCAGACATAAATTAATAACAGAAAATAATTCACAAAATATATTGCTGCCCTTATAAGGAGAACAGAATTAATTAGTTCTTGCTAATGATATGAAGAATATGAGTAAAGGTTGGGAAATAGTTAAGGTTTTATTTAAGTATACAGCAAAATTAATGATCTGTAGTTTTTATTTGTCTTGACTATATACAGTCATGGCCAAAAATAATGGCACCCTTGCAATTCTGTCAGAAAATGCAGCCCTTCTCTCAGAAAAGAAAAATCAAATCTGATACAATCCCACAGAGAAACCCAAAAATGCTCTGGCCAAAATTATTGGCACCCTGTCTAAATTGTAAAAATTAATTGCTTGTCAAGCATGTGATGCTCCTTTAATTTGTGTTTAGACATACCTGTCATAAGAAAGAGGTGTGGGCAATATAGCAATCACCCTTGCAACCAATTAAGATGGAGAAAAGTTGACTCAACCATTGTGTTGCGTGTGATACTAAGCATGGAGAAAAGAATGAAGTGTAAAGAGTTGTCTGTGGATTTGAGTGAAAAAATTGTGGAAAAACATTGACAATCTCAAGGCTACAAGTCCATCTCCAGAGATATTAATGTTCCTGTGTCCACTGTGCTCGACATCATCAAGAGGTTTACAGCCTATGACAATGTAGCTAACCTCCCTGGACGTGGATGGAAGAGCAAAATTCCTGAAAAAATTACAACAAAGGGTTGTTCGAACAGTAGATACAGAACCCAGACTAACTTCCAAACAAATTCAAGCTGATCGGCAGACACAGGGTATAACAGTGTTAGCTAGCAGTATCCATCACCATCTGAATGAAAAGGGATGTTATGGAAGGAGACCCAGGAGGAAACCACTGCTAACACAAAGGCATAAAAAAAGCAAGACTGGAGTATGCCAAATGTGACTGAACCACAATCCTTTTGGGACAACATACTGTGGACAGATGAGAGAAAGGAGAGCTTTTTGGTATCATTATGGCACTGTTTACAGAAAAAGAAATAAGCCATTCAAAGAAAAGAACAGTCCCTACAGCCAAACATAGTGGAGGTTCAAAGATGTTTTGGGGTTGCTTTGCTGCTTCTGGCACTGGATGCCTTGACTGCATGAACAGTGTCATAAAATCTAATGATTATCAAAGAATTTGGGGGCGCAACGTAGCGACCTGTGTCAGAAAGCTGCGTCTCCACCAGAGGTCATAGTTCTTCCAGCAAGACAATGACCCGAAACACAGATCAAAAAGTACTCAGAAATGGTTACAAACAAAGCGCTGGAGAGTTCTGAAATGGACAGCAGTGAGTCCAGATCTGAATCCCATAGAACACCTGTGGAGAGATCTCAAGACAGCATTTGGGAGAAGGCATCTTTCAAATCTGAAGGCCCTGGAGCAGTTTGCAAAAGAAGAGTGGTCCAAAATTCCAGTAGAGAGGTGTAAGAAACTCATTTAAAAGGGCCGTCCCTCAAGGGGGGTAAGAGGGATGGCTTGTAGACAAAGGGCCTTTTCGGCAGCTGCCCCCAGACTATGGAACACCATCCCAATTGATATCTGTCTGGTGCCGACGCTGATGACATTTTGGCGCCAGGCCAAAACCTTCCTGTTCCAGAAGGCTTTTAATTGAAATAATATCAACTGTGGGTCCTGATGGCAATTTTTAGAGTATATATTTTAATTGCTTTATCTTTTTTATTGTATTTTAATTGTTGTAAGCTGCCCAGAGACCTTTGGGGAGAGCGGGCGGCATATTAAGTTAAATAAATAAATAAATACAGGAAGCGCACGGATTTGTTATTTTTTCCAAAGGGGGTGTGGCCAAATATTAAATGTGCCAATAATTTTGGCCAGTGCATTTTTGGGTTTCTGTGTGGGACAGTATCAGATCTGACTTTTCTTCTCTGTTTTTGAGGTTGTTCCAACACAAACTAAAGAAACGAACATGTGAGTACCAAAACACTTGCAACTGCAACTATTTTCTGAGAGAAGGGTTGCATTTTCTGACAGAATTGCAAGGATGCCAATAGCTTTGGCCATGTCTGTACATGTTTTCATTGTGCAATGGTCAAAGGACCATATAGATACATTTTTTTTGGTTTGGTATGGAATGTATTTAACAATTTATTGTAAATTGCTTTGGAAGTCACTGGGGGCAGGAAGATGGTGGAGAAATGCTTTAAAAATAAACTCCTTCGTTCACTCGTATCCATTCTCCCAGGTAAATCCAGCTCTCCTCCCAAAGTTCTATGATACAGTACCTGGATCACTTACCAGATCTGTATTCGGACTTTAATTCCATCTACGTCAATCGTCTTCATTTTAAAATCAACTCCTGAGAACAAGAAAGCAAAACAGCAACAAAGAACACATGAAGTTACAAGGGTGACCTCAACATTATCCAACACATCCTGCTGTGTGCAATTAGTTTCTTTGCCATTCAGAATGCAGAGATGGACACATGTGTATCCTTGTTTGTGGGTGGCAGGGACGATCTTCTTGGTACCCATTCCTTCTTCATGCACAGATACCCATTCATATTACCAGCATATCATTGAATTACTATGCTCATGTACAAAGAGCATTCACATCAAATGTGAATATAGTGTCATAACAGTAGATCTACACAGTCACAATACACCTTTTCTGCTTAAATCTTTCCAGTAAAGCATTCAGATCTGGGTGTCTTTAGCCTTAAGCACTGACAAATCTGTAAATATCTGAACAGTAGAAATACAGTTTTTAGCACTTTTGTAGCCAAGCCAATGGGTAGGAAAGGATCTTTCCAATCAAGTAACATTAGAAGCTCTTAACAGCCAGTAGAGCGAGTGGAGTTAACATGTGTGACCTTGGGCAAACTACACAGTCCCAGGGTGCACCCAGAAAGGAATGGTAAACCACTTCTGAGTATTCTGTACCCGAAAAGAATCACTATAAATCAGAATTGAGTTGATGGCACAAGATGATGATGGATAGCTGGGGTTTATCCAAAAGAAAAACAAAACAAAACAAAACAGGACAAGTGAATCCTGATGTAGTAGGAACACTCGAGAAGAAATCCATGGGAAAGCAGTACTGCGATCACTACCTTTAAGTACGCAAGAATTCACTTTAATTTTGACAGAAACTGGAGGTTTTACTGTACAGCTTCAACTTATTTGCAGACTTGTCTAAATTTTTCCTTTACAGCCTCTTCCACCTATACCATGCAAGCAGCCCGGTCTTAAGATGACTTAAGAAGATATGAAACACACACAAGTGTGTTTCTTTGACATTCCTACTGCACCCCATGCCTACAACTCAAGAGTAGATACTTTTCAGCAGCACAGTGGAGTGCAGTTTCACAGAAACACTGCACCCTGGCTGAAATTCTGTTCCTCTACCTATATTTATGCCAACAGGATTTCCACCATTACATTCTATACATTTAATAATTGTGAAATCAATGTTAAAATATGTATTACAAGATCTCAACTGAGAAATCTCTTTAATGTTCGTATATTGCACACACTATACCAAGTAGTGCCTTTTCTGCCATCCAGTAATACTTACCATTTCCCCTCATCTTCTTCTATTCACAGCAGGTGCCATTACAGTAGGGGTGTCGTAACTCTGTATATTTTGGACTGCTAGTTGTCCAACCCCCTATCTCCATGGTTGGGAATGGCCCCTGTGTCAACTTCTAAAAAGCTTCTATAAGAACAGTAGTTTCCAAACTTGGGTCATTTCCCAGAAGTGGCAGCCAGTCGTCTGGGGTTCTAAAATGTGAAGCCCAACATCTGAGAACCCAAGTTTTAAAACAGTACTAAGCTACATGTACCAATAGTATAACAGCATTTGGCAGTGTCCCCTTTCTTTTAACCATTCCTCATGGCTACAAGTGGGAATGTTATAAAACAGTCTAACTCCAATTACTATGAACTCATAACAAATAAGATTACTGTATGTCTATTTCTCACTATTATGCTTTGCTTGTACATCTTTCAGAAGAATCCAGTTGTCTCCATTTGAAACAGGTTGTTGATCTTGATGGACCTTTTACTAAACAATTCTTATACTGTAGTTTTGAAGACTAGATTTGTTGGCTAAGATGAAACACATTTCTTCCCCAGAAAATAGTGTACCTTTCTGATGGTTTCAGGCACAATCGAAACTAACAAGAACTTTCTTCCATGACCTTTTATACTCCTCAAGGAATTATCCAGTCTCTGTGCTCACGATAACGAGAACTTCACTAAACTGAAATAAAGGACCATAAGTTTTGTGTCACTCGTGTGGGAGAACAGGGCCATTTTTGATATGATCTATGGCCCTGTAAAGGCACTTTAAGGGCAAGCAGAAAGAGATTTCATTACACAGCAATTCATATAATCCTGCTACCTGGATAAAACTGGCTGTGGTCAACCTGAACATGTTTTTTAAGTTCTGACAAAGCCAGGCAACAGGTCACACCAGAACAACAGGCTTTTCTGGAGGAAACCCCCCTGCTAATCTCCCACATCAGGAGAATAGGGAAGCAGGGATTGAAAACCACACCCATTTCTATTTCTTTCTAGCTACTCAGCTGAATAAAAGCCATTTTAAGCATGAGGTTTTTTTCTTTAAAGAGATAACTTCTATTTAAGAGAAAGAATGGACACCACCAGAAACATTATGGCACAAGATTTTCTGCAAAGCCTACAAGAGGGGAAATCAATACATATCCATCCATACTCATAGCTCTTAACCCAGAAATTCCCATGAGGAAGGAGTACAGTTTTGTGTGGCAAACCAATTTACCGAAGTCTGTACCATCCTGCCCAAGCATTGGACTACATTTCCCATCCTCCCCAGCCACGATTCTTACTGGAAATCCATACAAATAGGCTTAGACCATATAGGTCACAGGACAATGCAACATACATTTGTCAGTATAGATGAGACTAAGCACCAGACACTCTGGTTCCTTCACAAAAGGAAGTTCTTAAAAGCAAGACAGCAAATCTGGAATCTGTTGTGATATCTGCACCAATGTTCCACCAGAGGCTAGTGACTGCCACTGTCATTACAAATACAGTGGTGCCTCGCAAGACGATTCTAATTCGTTCTGCAAAAATCGTCATCTTGTGAAAAAATCGTCTTGCGAGGTTCCCTATGCATCAGTCTCAAAAAAAAAAACAGTCTTGCGAAGCATCGGTTTAAAAAAATGTCTTGCACAGCACGGTCATAGAAAAAAAGTCTTGCGAGGCACCATAATGATTGCAAAAACCAATCGTCCCACGAGGCAATCGTCTAGTGAGGCACCACTGTATACTGTACTTTCTCTGGTATGTATTCTTCCTTCCCATCAATTTGGTCCTCAACAGAAGCAAGTACCACTAGAGGACCCAAGCGTAATTTCAAACTCCTCAGGATCACTTCTGATATTTTCCCAAGGGGGCATGCTTCGTCTCCTGTACTTCTCAATTACATCCAATTGCATTAGATTTAAGACTAGCAACTTGGGTAGGCTGGTAGGAGTCAATCTCCTGCCCCTAGGACCCTCTGGAGACTGAACAGACTGCCAAGTAAAACATGCAATGAAAAACGGAAGTGGCCAGAACTCCAATTTTTAAGCCAGCATATTCTGGGATATTAATTGGTGCAGGTGGGCCCAGCTGCCTTTTAAAAAGAGAAATTGGAGAGTTCTCAGTGTTGTAACTCACCTACTTTTGTAGGGAAAATGGAATTTTGGGGGCTGGCGGACACAAAAAGAGCCTTTGGAGGCTACACACAGTACCAGGGCCATACTTTGTCCACCACTGCACCCTTTCCTAAGCACAGGAGCAGAATACACGTTCCACCGCTTGAAACATATGCTCTCATCCTGGAAGGTGTGACTCATAAGCATGAAAAAAGCATCCCATGTAACACCTACTAATTGACCACTTTTTGACGTCCAAGGTAGCCTGCCCTCAGTGGAAACTATGATAAACAGAGAGTCCCATCATTTAAGCTATACATTTGCAGCTATTCTAACTAGAAAGAGGGAAGCACAGTACCTTCTGCATACCTGCACTCACTCTACGGATATATCAAGTAGCCAGAACACTTCCTTCTTCTCCCTTCTTTTATAGAATACACACTGGGAACAAATTATTGTGTCAAATGAAACATGCATACAGTACTGATTGGCAGGAGCGGAACAGCTAAGAAGGTAGCAACTGTCATAATCTAAACTTGACCATGTTGATTTTAGCAGGATGTACCTCCAAGGGAATAGGCTTTGCCTTGCAAATCTGTCTACATTGTACAGAAAGAGATACACAAACAGAATCTGAGCTTTAAAACTTGCTGCAGAGTCCCTCCATAGTTATTACACTCTGCCCAGTGCACATTGCAGACACAATAGAACCATGAATCTTCCAAAGCCATGCACACAAACAGCAGATCTAGTTAAGCCTTTGTTAACTTAATATTACTGAAAGAAATAATATATTTTGTTCTCTCTCCTTTCTAGTTATCCCAGTAGGTCTGGGGTTGTCACAATATTTTGTTCTCTCTCCTTTCTAGTCCTGCTCTGTTCGTATATTTGATTTCTTTATCCACCACTTTGAACTTAGTTTAGTTTCCTCTACTGCTGAGTTGAGATTTTCTTTGTTGGTGTGTGCTACCAAGTTGCTCCGAAATTTTGGTGACTCCTAATGAGGTGTTCGAGATATGTGCAGTATGTTGCAACCGTGGTTTGCTTCTGCCACTCTCCAAAGAGTTTCCATGGTCAAATAGTGATCTGAATCCAAGTCTCCTGAGCCCTAGTCTGTCACCCTAACAGCTACACCACATGCCTCCTGACTGAGATTTCTTAGAAGATAATTTCGTTTTTGACACTATCCAAACGGGCAAAGAATCCTATTTTCCCACCCCAAAGAGAGCTGTTCAGGAAAGTAACTTTTCATCTCTAGGGAAAAATGGAAAACTTGCAGCCTACAAGTCACAGGCAGAGACCATCTTAATTTAATGTGGATCTTGCTCTACTTTGTAAATGCCACCTATTTTTCACTGACCCCATAACCAGGATTTGAATACAGATGTCATATGATTTCTTGGATACATACAACATATCCATAACAATAAACAGTAAATACAGTGTAATGGTGGTTAGAATGGTGAACTACGACTGAGGAGTCCTTACTTCAAAGCTCCACTCAGTCATGGGAGTGGGTGGCTTTGTGCCAGTCACACTCTCAGCCTACTTCAGGGAGCTTATTACGGATATAAAAATGGGGAGAAAACTCGATATGCTATCTTAACCTCCTTGGAGGAACCTTGGAATATAAGTTATAGAAGGAATAAAAAGCCCCCTTAACTGTTGTAACAAATGGAATGAAAATGTGCAAGACACATTGCTAAAAATATAATCTTCCATACAGCCCCTTGAAATAACAGTGTTGAAATACAGTGGTGCCTCGCTTAGCGACGTTAATCCGTTCCAGGAAAAACATTGCTAAGCGATTTAATCGCTAAGTGATTTTAAAAAGCCCATAGAAACGCATTAAAACATGTTTAATGCGTTCCTATGGACTTAAAAACTGACCTGATGCGAAGATCCTCCATAGGGGCGGCCATTTTCAGTGCCTCTAAAGCAGGGGTCTCAAATATGTGGCCCGGGGGCCATTTGCGGCCTGCTGGATGATAGTTTGTGGCCCTTGCCTGCCCCCCAAAGCGCCCACACGTCCTCTGCTGTCAAGAATCAAAAAAAGCCTCGTCTCGCTCGCTGGCTGCCTCCCTCTTGCACCCGCCATCCGTAACTTCAGCCTGCCAGCCAGTCCGCCTGTCTGCTGGCTGCAGTTCCGGATTGAGGGTGCAAGAGTTGCTGTCTTGGAGGAGAGCCGCCGAGCGAGGCGCTCTGCTGGCCCCTTTCCCCAAGCTGCCACCGAGCGATGCCTGAGAGTGGAACTCACTCCTGGCCCGTCCTCACGGAGTACCTCCAAGCCGCCAACAGCAGCTGCCGCCACCGCCACCACTGCTGCCTCTTCCAGGGAAGCAGCTCTCTGGCTCTCTTTCACTCTCAGCACCTCCAGCATCAGCCCGGACAGCAGCCACCTCAGCACCCGGCGATGCTTCCTCCTCCTCCTCCTCTTCATCCTGCTTCAGCCACCTTGGTCCTGGAGGCTGCCAGGGCTCGCCTTGCAAAGTTTGCTCCTCTGTTGTGGTGGGGGTATCAGCTGCTGCTGAGTGCGCCTTTTTTGAGGGGGGGCTCAGACGAAGGTTGCCAGACCTGTGTGTATGTGTGTGTGGTGTGTGTACACCTGTGGGGGGGCAGCCTGTTGTGTTTAATTTCGCGGGTACCAGTGGGGGCTTTTCTCCTTTGGCAAGGCAAATTCTGTGAGGTTTTTTTATTTTATTTTATGCTGTGCCCTCCTCCCCCCCGGGCTAGGCAGTCACCGGCGCTCCCTCCCTTCTCCACTTCTTCATCCTACTGCTGCTGGTGGTAGTGAAGGAGGAGCCAGAGGGGGTCGTGCGCCCCTCGTCCTCCCGGGAGCCCCAGCCGGGCTAAGGAAACTCCTGGGCGGCTTCCTCGGGCTCTTGCTCCGCTTGGCGGAAAATCTGATGTGGCCCAGCCTCACCCAGAATCTGCCTCCAGCGGCCCCCAGGTAAATTGAGTTTGAGACCCCTGCTCTAAAGCGAGGCAAAACAGCGGGTGGCCATTTTGTTTTTCCGGCGGCCATTTTGGAACCACCGATCAGCTGTTTAAAAAAGTTCACTTTGCCATGATCGCTTCCCCGCGATCATCGCAAAGTGATTTTTCCCCATAGGGGCCATCGCTAAGCAATCGCTTTGGCAATGGCCAAAACCCCATCGCTAAGCGATTTCATCGCTCAACTGAGTGATCGCTAAGTGAGGCACCACTGTACTAAGAGAGGTCAAAAGTATCAATGCTCTTTGGATTTCAAAAATACAGGAACAGGCTATGGAGGCTGCTGTGATTCACAATATCAATAAAATACTGTACTTCACTGCTTTGTTGTGTGTTATTCGACTGCATCAGTGAAGATTAACCCTGCAGTCTTCCGCCTCCTCCATGCCCCTTACAAGTAAGTTCGACTGTGTTCAGCTGGGCTTTCTCCCAGGAAACTGGGCACAGAATTGAAATTTAAACTATTGCCCAATCATCTCTGGTTTGCCTTGTGCCATCTTTGTAATTTCTCCTTAAAGAGAGACAGAGAGATTTCAAAAATAGGGAGGAAGGGGAATTTCATCTCACCCTGGATTCAAATTCTATTTCTCAGATCAGTTCATGCTAAGAAAGTACCATACTACCAAGAAAGCTAAATATTGGGGTATTCAACTCTTATAGCTTAAGGACTGATCAATAACAAATAGTGACATACATACCATTAGTAGCTTCAATGCACTCTCTTAATGACTTTTACAGTTCTTCAGATTTCTGACTGCTAACTTAGTTGAAAAAAATTGATCAAACAGGAAAAGGTTCCATTTCACAAAACAGCCCTTATCACACTTCCCTTAACTCCTGATCACATTGGGGATTCACCATCCTCTGTTTACTTTCATAGCATCCAAGTTGCATGGAATGCTGAGCTACATCAACAAAAGAAAAGCTTAACCTTTCCATGTTGTTTCCATGTTAGCCTGCAATACCTTTTGGTACATTAAGTGACTACTCATTTCAGCTTTACCCAACCTGGTGCACTCTAGCCATGTTGGAACTGTAACTGTCATAACTCCCAACCAGCAAGATGGAAACTGAAACACAACACATTAGGAGAGTACATCAGATTGGGGAAGTCTGCCTTGTATCCACAAGCAAAAGATTGGTAACATCCAACCCCTAGCTCCAATGAAAGCTTTATAGGTTGGAGCAGTTTAGAGCAGGGGTAGTCAATAGGGACCATGCTGGTATATTTGAACCACAAATAATAATTCCTCACTATTAGGGGGTGTCAGGAGTTGTACCCCCAAACATCTGAAGGGCCACAGTTTCTCCATTACCTAGTGAGCTTGCTGTCCCCCAAAACACATTTTTTTCTTAAGTAATCACAGCCTCCAGAACTAACACTGAGTATTTTCCAAACCGAACAATATCAAAGCTTTAGACATTACTACCAAAGCTGTGTTTCAATGGGTGGTGTGAAGGAACTGAACAGAAACAAAATGATGTGAACACAGGATTCTTTCACATGGTACTACAGTATTTCTTCCAACGATGTCTACTTCAGCTGAATTATGAATTCTCAGTCTTGATTCAAATCACTTCACATCAGTGTAACCATGCCTATAAGCACCTTCATTCTCAAGATGTACGTTGCTGGTTGTCACTGCCAGCCTGAGGAATTAATAGCATGGGTAGAATCAACAGCGTAATTCAGACTTCGGAAAGCAAATGGTGTTCAAGGCAAAAAGCACCACTACAGTTGCCCTCAGCTAGAGTCAACATGTATGTGCAGAAGCATAGCTACATCACCATTACATTTCCAGTAATGTTCTATTATGTGCACACACAGAATTGCAAAACTATCAAATGATTTCCAAAGGGCTCAGATTCTAAAAATGAGATATGGCAGTTTCCCACTTCAAATTCCATGAGCATGGAACAAGGCTAGGACCTTCTTCTATTCATGCTTTACCAGAAATCTCCATTCATGCTTTTAAAATGCTATTGTAGTACTGTACTACTATGAGCAGTTTCTTTTTCGGAATGAAGACCCCAACAAGCCACAACCTGATTGAACCCACTTCGGGTAAGCCCAACCTGAGTCTAAAATAAGACAAGGCAATAAGGAGAGCTTTTACTGAGCTAATATTTTGCCTCTCTTCACACATTATGTTCTTAGCTCAGAAGCATGCTCCCACAAGTCTCTCCTATATCTAAAAATAGAACAGGCTCATACGGTAGCGGCTGGTAGATTCTCAGCATACATATGTGCCTACTTACTCCTACGAAAAGCAGATGCTCAGAAGCAGTCCCTTTCCATGTTCTGTGCTTAGACACCCATGTCATTTGTCAGAAAGGTTAACAACATGTGGGAAACAGGTTTTATTCCCTGCTGCAAACAAAAGCACCACCAGAAATTTCCGAAAAAGTAAAAGGCTGCCTTCCTTCCTTCCCTTGCTTGCTTGCTTTCCAAATTCTCCCCCACCCTATCCTTCATATGACTCATGGGCTTATGCCTACCTCACGTTTTAGCACATTGACGTGGCTTTTAATGTTCACTTCTGAGGTGAGCTGGCACTGCTGCACCCAACTGTGAGAGAGCAGCAGCAGCAACATGTACAGTACTCGCTCCAGAGCCCCGGGACGGCGTGGCTCCCCGCTCCACGACAGGCAGCAGCCACACACCAGAAAAGGCCCGGCCTCGACGCAGCATCTAAGAGGTACCGGGAAGCCAGGGCACCGAAGGAAGGAAAGAGCTTCGGGATGGAAATTGGGGGCGAGGGAGAGGCACACTGGGCGACTCCGACCCCGCCGTTCCTCTCGCCTGTGCCCTTCCTGCCAGCACCGGCGCGGGCACATTGGCGCCTGAACCCGCGCCAAAGACGCAGTGCCTTCCCGCGCGATGCGAGGCTCACCTCCGTCGCCGCCCCCCCCCGTCCGCCCCCTTCGCCAAGGGGAGCCTCTCTACCGAGAGCAGCGGCCAAGCCCCAAGAAACGCCGCCTATTCGGTCTCTCTCGCGTCCGGCCCCGGATGAGGCACAAAGGGGAAGGTGCAGCAGCCGCCGCCGCCAGAGCTGCCTCTGAAACCCGGGCTCGCTCTTGCCCGCTCTCCGTCCTAAGCCTTTTGTCCCTGGTTCCCAACAGAAAAGGTGGAGGGGGGGACCGGCCGGGCTGGTGGGTTCCCCTTCCCCATCCTCCCGCCTCGGGTAGGTTCCCCCCCCGCCCCCCTCTCCCCTACCGATGGTGGAGATGTGCGACGGGTGGAACTCGTTGTCGGTGAAGCGGCACAGCAAGCAGGTCTTGCCCACACCGGAGTCCCCGATGAGCAGCAGGCGGAAGAGCACGTCGTACTGCTTGGCCATTGCGGGGCCCGCTCCGGCTTCAGCCTTGCGCGGCGCCCGCCGCTCGCAGCGTCCGCGCCTGGCCGGCGGGCGGGCTTGGAAGGAGCGGCCGAGCCCCAGCTGCTGCAAACCCAGGCGGGAAAGCGGGAGTCGCAATAGGGAAAAGCGGCGGCGAGGAGGGAAAAGGGAGACGACTTAGCCCGCGGCAGCACCGGCGCCTCCTTGGTGGTGCGGAGCTTGCCCGGGGGATGGCCAGAAACGCTGGAGGAACTAGGCAAGGCTGGCGGG